GCGTTTTTAGCTGTTTTACCTTGCTTAATGTTCTATTTTGAATCTTAAATTACCCCCTGAGGGGCATAGCTCCAACACTTCCCCCTCATTAAACGCCCCGTTTCTTTACTATGTGGGGGTTTGATAACCCCACCACTTTCCGTAACCTTATTTCAGCAGCTTTTCTCACTTGGTGTCGCACAGTACATGTATTGTGCGACACCGGGTGAGAAGAGTCAAACGGGGTTCGAGATGCTCGGGTTTAAGATCACCAGATTACCTGATCTTACTGGAAGTCACAACTTTGACACTACGCCTAAAGCATGGACGCATACGGGAAAACTCTCTGCATCCTGATGCTGACTATTCCCTCATCTTTCTCACTGATAGCAAATTTATCCCTACTCTGCTATTACTACTAAGTTACTGCCTACTACTCTAGTTACCCTGTCTTGACTACCTTTTGATTGGGAAGCTAGTTGAACTTTATTATTTTATTATGGACACATTGGATCTCTGTTAATAACAATTTTTGACATCTGTTGTAATACAGTAATGTATGTGATTTTCGCGTTTTTCCTCATTTATTCTGATCATGGATATTGATTGATACTAAGATTTTCACATTTATGAGAGTTTTTGAATTTTGGTCGCGTAATTTTGATTTTATTTGATTTTTGAACAAAATCTTTATTTAATTAGATTTCACTTTGTTTTTGACCAGTGGCTTACAAGCTTCTGGGTCCTGTTTTGAATTTTTTGGAGTGGATTGTTAGGGCCCTGGCATTTGCCGACAAAGCGGTTTTTATTTTTATGTTTTATAATCCTGTTGATTTGTATATACCGTTTTGAAAATTTTTCAAATCTAATCTAAAAATCTAATTGCTCAAGTATCAGTCTGCTGCACTGCCACTGTCGCTTTGTCACTGCCTGACCCTGCCCGTAAATTTATTAGTAGATAGTAAAAATTTTACCATGATTAATATTTTGTCGAATTTTCATAGAAATATGGTTATTTTGAACCATGTGATATGATGTGTTATAGTCATCAAATAAAATACAATTATATTAAACTTAAAGGTGTATTGAAATTAACCTTTTCTTGGAGCTGAAGTGAGTAACCATTAGTTTGTTTCTTGCCACGATCCCGCGGATGCTGAGCGTCTTATCGGATTGTGAGATAGTAGGTGGTGGTCGGATCGACACATTAGCAATGTTCTCAAGTTCTATGCTCTTCTTCACATGCTCTGAAGTTGTCATCGGGAAATTCCGCTCAATGCAATAATTATGCAACACCATGCAGCTCACGATTATAGCGCATGCCATATCAGGTGCAAACATCAGGGCACCCCCACTCTCCTTGCAGAGGCATCTGAAGCGAGATTTTAGTGCCCCAAATGCCCGCTCAATTACACACCGAGACTTCTTGTGGCGTCCATTATATTTTACCTTTGCCGTGGAGTCCGGTTCAAGATACGGTATCATCATTTCTTCTCTCTGAGCATACCCCGAATCCCCAATGAGCCAACCTTGGTAGTCAGAGGGTTTTGAAGCGAGGAAAAGCCCCAGTTCTTCTCTGAAAGAGCAATGCTCCCATATTGTAGAATCATTTACGCTCGCAGGCCACCGAACAGATGCTTCCAAAAACTTTAATCTATGGTCACAAATTGCCTGACAGTTAATGTAGTGTCCGGGATGCCGACCCACATACGCATCTTCGTCAACTGACGGGGCTCTTATCTTTATCTTAGTCCCATCAATTGCCCCAAGACACCCTGGAAACCCACCATAATCCAGGAAACCTTGTTTAGTCGCAACAACCGAGCTTGTTTCCCACGAGTTAGTGATATACTCACTCGCCAATGACGACAAGGCAACCGAAACATTCTTTACACAATTCTCGACAGAACCAAGTGACAGTTTGAGGTCGGCAGTGCTGCGAAGTGAGCGAAGTGAGTTGCCAGAGGAATAGAAGCTAAGGGCAACCATGAGCTGAGTCTCAACAGGGAGGCCAGATTGAGTCTTCCGCTCAATCAACTCGTGTTTTCTGATTTTTTCTGCGAAATGATGGATTCCGACTTTGTCTAAACGAAAATTATCTATTATTGAAGTATCAGTAGAGCGGTCAAGAAAGTCAGTAACAGACTGATGAGTTCGACTGACGACCGGATGGCTCTGGACGGTGACCCTGTTGCTATACCAATGATAAAATGCCATTATTGATTTCGTGAATTCCTTAAATGCAAATAAATTAAGTTGATTGTTGAGGGAGTGTGGTATCATAAATTATAGTCATATGTGTATTTATTAGTTAAAATTCCTTATTATATATATACAATATATATATATGAAAGAGAAATATATATATATATAATAATTATAATAGGTAATCAACTCAGAAAGTGCTGGAACTGATCCTGGAAGTAATGTAAGAATTCAAGTAATGTAAGCAAAATCACACACACTGAATTTGGTTTGGTTTGGTTTGGTTTAGAGAGCTTAGACGTGAGGTCTAAACTGGGTCGATTGAAAAGTGAGCTACAGATTAGCGGCTGGGAAAAACAAAGAGATGGAGATTAGTGATTAACTATGCTGGTAATCAGCATCAAAATACCTGTAGGTGCTGAGTGAACGTTTGGCAGACCATAAAAACCGGAAGAAAAACTGTTAATGACTTAAACATCCTAGAATTAAGTGCCACAACCATGAGGTTAAAGTCAAGAAGGTCTAAAATGGATCTAATTGTATAATGTGCTACCGAGAAAAGTACTTAGCAAAGTAACATGAGGAAATTAAACTACTATAAGGGGATAAATGGTGATCGTGAGATAATAACTACAAACCATGCCTCATGATAGACGATAAAGTGAGTATATGAATGGAAAGAGCTAAATAATTAACTCCGGTAATTAAATACTGGTATTACATAAAATAGTGAAGTCCACACATTTAAAATTCTGTCCATTATAGAAACTGTGCCGGGGTAATTTAAGCGGGAAAAAACTAACAGCAGGAGCCGGGATTATCAGAATCTATCCCGCCCGCCCGTTCTTCGCTCAAATTTGTTTTCTGTTATAATTATCAGTTATCAACCTTCATCATGCAGACGGACCGTATCTGATATTACCGCTATTACTCCACCTTCTGATCCTATAGACCGGCCTTCCTCATCCAATACTGAACAGATCTCATCGGATTCGACAGGACCTCCTTTGGACACTGACCTAACTACTTTAGACGCTGAACTCGCTACTTTAGACACTGAACTCGCTAGAATTACATCAGATGGCGACCTCACTACTTCGGACAATGGAATAACCCCGCCGATAACCATCATCAATGCCTCACTAGGGAAAAGGAAAAGAAAGAAACAGAAGGCGGAGCCCGTAACTGCAGTTGTCAAGAAGGAACGAGCACGGAACTTCACCTCGGAGGAGGTGCAAGTTATTATGCAGGAAGCGGGGAAGAACACAGCTATTATCAAAGGCCGATTCACGCCTACTATAACCAGCGAGGCAAAGGAGAAATTGTGGTTAGCAATAACTAAGTCGGTGAACGCGATCAACAGTAAAGGAGACAGAGAATGGAAGGATGTTAGGAAGAAATGGATCGACACTTCATGCTCTGCTAGGTCCAAGCTTCGCAACATTGAAAAGGAGCAGCGAAAGACTGGTGGTGGCGCCAGCTCAGCCCCCCCTCTCAGCAAGGTGGAAACCCTTGCTTTGGACAGTATATCAGGAACAACTGTTCGGGGTATTCCAGGAGGAATCGACACTGCAGATGTGTCACGTTCTTGTGGAATCATTGGAAGTTTGATAGCTCACTCAAACCTGGTGCTAAACGACAGTAACGACTCGGAAATATCCTTTGACCTGAACAGAAACCCGAGATCCAGCACCCCGAGATCCAGCACCCCGAGATCCAGCACCCCGATTCCCTCCCCCGACTCCTCTATTCAGAGTCCCTTCTCTCTATCAACACCACCATCCTCCTTTCAACTGCAACCCTCTCCACTAGCCACACAAACCTCCTCTCAGAATCCTCCTGCTAGAGCTACAACTGGCTCGATCCGCTCAAGCAGAACGGTTACAAGAGACGTCCGAAACGACGAGTTTAAGCAGTTGCTGGCAGAACAGAAACGGACAAACGACATCCAGGAAGGCATGCTTAGACTGCAACGAGCGAAAAATAAACGATCAGTGAAATACATTTCATTGTGGTAGTTGTACATATCTCAGTGACTGAGCATATAATTATAAACGTTTGATCTATTATGGTATATATAATCTTTAATCTTACAGTTAAGTTACATGGTACGCATGGAATTTATCATATTATTTTATATTGTTGTAACATACTTGTTTATTTTTGTCTCTAGCTCTTGATGAATGATTTAAAACGATTTAAATTACATTTTATAACACATCAATAAACTTGATAGAATTACATTAGATACACTTGAAATAAAGTAAGAACAAGAAATAAAGACCGCCATCAATTCTATTAACACAACGCAAAACGAGTTCAATTTATGATTAAAATGGCGTTACACAAGAGCTGCGCGTTCCGACTGCGTGAATTAACTTGTGTTGCGAATCTCCTATTGGTCAATGTACCGCGTCACGTGATAAAACAATTTGCTCTACGATCAACCTTGAACTGAGTTTCGTGGACAAGATTCCGGAGGCTAATTAAATTGATTTACATGATCTCAGATTACAAAATGTTTCGTGGACACTTTTTAGGCGCGATCGTAAAGTTACGATCGATCTTAGAGTACACGATATAACTTACGATATAACTTTCGTGGAGGACACCCAGGTTACCATGTACTGGGGAGTTTATCAATTCTCTACCAAAGTTGGCAGGAACTCTTACTTTGGGGATCATCGCTAGGATTGTTAGTTTTAGATAATTTCCCCGAATAAAGTATTCAAACAATATACACATAATATTACAATGACCCTATATAAAAATTCAATAAACATCTGAGTAAATTTTAAAAAACCCTTTAAGTAGTAAAAGTAGCCAATTCAATGTAGGCAATTCAATGTACTGGTTAGTTTGAAATAATATTAAATTAAATTATTTGCTTGATGACCAGTGACCTTAAATTAATTGGCAATGCTGCTGACAGTAAAAGTGTTACTGAGTATTTACATGAATTAGAAATCTGGGAAAGTATTTTGTTACTTAGAGTAAAGTAAAGTAGTTTGTCTAGTTTGTCGGTCAAAGCACCAGTTTTACTCTTTAAAACTTGCTTTGCAACGAAGTTCATAACAAAATCAGGGCAGACATTTTCCTCGTACCTAAAATATACAATGAGGAAGTTTAGAAGTAAAGACAAAATATAAAGCTCAACATATCTAAATAACAATAGATAAGCAGCGACCAAATTTATCATATTCAGGTTGCGATAAAAATTTGAAATTTTATTAAAGATTTAACACACAGATCACACAACTAAAATCCTAGATCCTCACTTGAAAAACATCAACCTGGAATCCAGGCACGTAAAGGGTGAGCCTTGTTGAAGTCTTCACTCTACAACAACACCATAATCCTCACAAAATAGCTTGGAAGTACTAGTTATAGTTCCCGCAAAATATGAAAACTACTCGCAAACATTCCACTAGTATCCATCGTCGGAGTCCTGAATATACTCTAGCTCCAAGTTAAAGGATTTGCCAAATCTGTGGGAGAACTGTTTAGATCTAACAAAGAGTTTGTACGGAAAATATGTGGAGAATTGCTCAAGGTGACATTTTAGTATGTACGAAAGATGGTAAACATACACGATTCAATAGCTTCATAAAAGGTTTAATTCGAGGCGGAAAATCATCAAACCTCTGGGGTGTTTCATTTCGTGAATAAGGAGATGAGAAGCGCGAATAGCGTGGAGCTCCTCGCTTATCAGGGAGATCTGCTCCTATAAATTATACAGAATATATTATGTAATTATATACAAAATACATATACATACAGCAAATAGAAAGTACATAAATCATCAGCCTACTCCTCTGTAGAACCTTTTAAAAAACTGGGGATGGCCCTAGGGGGTATCTAATTATGGTGAAAAATGGTGAATGATTTTTATGGTGAATCGGGTTTCCAAATTTTTGAAAAAATGTCACCAAAATTTCACCATTTTTCACCATCGGATCGGATACCACCGTACCTGGCGCCATATATTGCGCCAGGTACGGTATATTATATATATATCAGGAGCAGTATTGGCTTGCTAGTTTGCTTAAATAGTTCATTCAAATCCGATAACACTGTCGTCATTGTTTCTTCGAAAAGTTAAATTCTGTACTTAAAGTTTACTACATCACTGTCCCTACTTATAATTGATGATAGAAAATAAATCTGACGGGATGGCTTTAGTTGGCTCAGGCTGTCCCTCTAAATCGTCGTAAAGTCAGTCAGTCAATTAATGAATACGTCGATTGGTTTATTGATTAATTTATTGCCAGCCTAACTGCAAAGCACTGGCCTCCATACCGTAAAAACTTACTTGATTTAGATTCCCTGCTGCTTGAAGCTACGGCAGCCTCCATCTTCTGCAGCTCTTCCTGCTCTTCTTTTGCGTGTTCTCTGTGTATACCATCTATTCTCTGTGGTCCAGACACAATACGGCGCGGCACCCAGTTATTATCACGCAACTCCACGACGTCTTGTATCATGAACCGGATACGGTACGCGTAGTTCGAATCTACAAAAGGATAACATTTAGAATATAGTAAACGTAGCTGGAATCTTAACAATTAAACAAAGAATAATTATATTATGCAAGTGTTCTAGAAGAGGTCACCTAGCTAATCTTATCAAAAGTTGCTAAACATACTTGATCCCAATTCTTTGAAGTCACCGAAACTTTTCTCGAAAGCTCGTTTCTTAAGTTCATCCTTGCACTCGTTCTCAAGTTTTAGTCCGACGGTAGAAAACAACTTAGCGAGACATTCCACCACTTCCTCATCCAACTTTCCTTGTGCTCGTTTAGCCAGCAGGTTACCAACACACTGAAAAGGTGTTACCATGGTAACCAAAAACAGTGGATATTGATTACCTCGGTAAACTAGATAGGGGTTGCCATGGTTTCTGGATAGGAGTCAGAGGCATTGGTTTTATTTTAGATATGGATATAACTAATTCATCACACAGTGGAGTAAGAAATTCTCTTCTCAACAAAACAATAGTCTCTAGAGTCTAACCTGGCTGAGGATGATTTTAGAGGACAACATGCCCAAATTGAAGAGTTCCCCAATGAAGTTGATGTTACCCAGCATCCTTCTTTTAAATTTGCTGCTCTGGAACAACAGCTCCTCCATTTGTGCCTGCTTCTCGTTCTCGGCCAAATCAGCTGAGGGTAATTGTATTAGTAAGCATGAGTAGTGGACGGGGTTTCCGGTTTGGATTGTTGTATGTTGTTTGTATCTTTGTTGTATTTATGAAACTCACTACGGGCTTGAAGTTCATCCATCTTTTTGTTGAGTTTATCCCCATCGCTCTTTTCTCTGAAAAACTCCTTCTGACATCTGTTCAGCAGAGTCTTTCTGAACGGAGACACTTTGGAGTTCTGCTCCTCCGGAAACTTAATCGCTCCCATTATCTGACAAAATAATCATTATAAATTTGATAAGTACTAAATTTGATAAATAGAAACTACAAAGTTTTCCATTCACCTGGCAACCGGGCCGAGCGTACCCACTTTTGAAAGGTAAGCTTAATAAAATAAGAATATCAAATTATGAATGGATAATAGACAATTACCGTGTAAACTTAAGGTTGGCATATATCATACAAACTAACCTTACAGAGGTTAGCATAAGTCTGACTGTAGAGTGGCTCCAACACGGCTTTCTCAAAAATAATCTCCACTGCTATCTCCAGTTTTTCCATGTTATCAATACCCAGCTGCAGTATATGCGCACATAAATCCTTGAAGTTTTGTGGAGTAATTTTGTTGAGAATAGCCAGGATGTCACCGTGCAGCATTTTCGACTTTTTCAAGTCCCGTAATTCTCGTTTAGAGAGCCACGTGTTAGAATTCTTCTTGTGAGTCTGCAGCAATAAGTTATTGAATAGTGAATAGTGCAAGTGAATACTCCTAGTATTTAATTGGCTAAACTACTATACATAATCATTCTGGTAATCAAAAATGTTGATATATTGTGCAGTGTGCACAAGTTAAAGCATTAAATACTTATACTTTCAACGCGAACAAGTCAGTCAATAAATTATTTAACAAATTATTGAACAAATTAGTTGACAAATTATTGTATTAATTAAAATTGTACCTGGATTAGTGCGAGAGTATGTTTGGTGGGGTTGATGGAGTGGCTCATTTTCATACTTTTCATACTCCTTTCCTCTCTTTGTGAAATGTTGCTGCCTGGCTTCTCCCCAGTTTTAATACTTTCAACACTACTATATAACAAATAATTTGAGTTCAGGGATGGAGCCAAAGACTCAAAGAATGTACCCGAAAGGGCGTCGACACGAAGCAAAGTGACGATGAGCCCCCCAAAGGAGGATTCTACCATCAATGTTCCAAAGTCTGAAGAGAAATATTGTCAGTGCGAAGATTACATTTCGGAGCAGCTTTCAGTAGAGTGTGAATCCTGTAAAATTTACTGGCAACTCAGTTGTGTCGGCTTGACAGGTCTAAAGGAGGAAATGCTTGAACTTCTTATCAACTGGAAGTGTCCGTATTGTTTCGTGGTACCCAACACCTCACCAGACTCTGTTGAAAACAGATCAATCAGGGCTATCCTCAAAGAAGAGATCAAGCTTATTACACCAGCTCTGACAAACTCTCTCAAAGAAGCCCTCAAAGGCAGTGCAGAGAAAACAGTTGATAAAGCTGTTTGTCTCTATTCTGAGGTAACAGCACAAACCCAGAAGAAGGTTCTTGATGACATGAGTCGTGAACAAGCTTCTGAAACTGTTATTTCGGAAGTGCAAATGAAGATGCACACTGATACATTTGAGCGAAACAAACGAAAACTCAATCTGTGTGCTCAAGGTTCCAGAGAGCAAAAAGACTACCACTAAGCAACGCCAGGAGGACGACTCCAAGTTCTGCAGGGAGACCCTAAAGATTAAGAAGGACGACATGATAAGCTGCCATCGCTCTGGCAAGCTTGATGCTGTTATGTAAATTCATCATTAGAGGTGCAAGAAATGAAGATTTTGTGATTTTTGGCTCATATCTGCACAATTAACAGATATATTTAAAAGAGATGAATGACTTAATTATGTGACATTTGAATCTTTTTGGACCACATTTTAAATTTGGTTAACTTTCATAGCATACTCCTTGACATACAAGTATTTTAAAATGCTTCACACAATTTTGGCAGTGAAGAATCAATCTCTAGTGCCACCTTTTTATGAACGTGTCCATAAGGTAAATGGTATAGAACTTGAAGTATCTGCACCGGAAAAAGATTTGGGGGTTATTACCCATAGCTACCTGCTTTGGAACGGACAGATCAAAGCATGTATTGCTAAGGCAAATCGTATGATTTCTTGGATTGTAAGGAATTTAGTTATTAGAGAAAAGGTTGTTATGATTGCTATATATAAAGCTTTAATAAGACCTCATCTTGATTTCAGAGGCGGTTTACCCGTCTGATTGATGAGGTGGGTACTCTTCCTTACAGCCGTAGACTGGAAATCCTCAATTTGACAACGCTGGCAGAGCGGCGAATACGTGGGGACCTAATTGAAGCTTATAAGGTAATTAATGGTATGACTTATTATGGTCCAGACTTGTTCAGACCAAGCAGATCAGGTCTTAATCTGGTTTCATCCAATAGATGTAGTAAAAGTGTGACAAAGGTCAAGAATATCCAGAAGTCCTTTCTCCCGGAGCGAGTTATTCCATATTGGAACAAACTCCCTCCGGACGTCAAGAACTTTGTGACAGTTTTAGGTTTTAAAATTAAATTAGAAGGATATAAGATAAATATGATTTCTAAAAGCATTACAAATGATTGCTTTTTTTGGAATGTTTCTAATGAAGTTTTAGTAAGAATTGATAGAGCCATAACAATTATCTTTGGTTAATGGTTCCATCCTTATGTGGCAAAGACGTGTTTTATAAATCTTTATTCCACTGGAAAGTTTTTAAAATAGGATAATGTTTTTGATAAAATTGTTTTTAAATATTGTATTTGATAAATGATTAATGTTGGTGGGGAAATATTTATTATATATTTTTTCACATAGTGCGATGATATTTTGTAAAGTAGTAAAACAAAATTTTTTTTAGTAAAACAAAATTTTTATTTACCACAAAACAATCAATACATATTTAATATTATTATACATTTACAAATAAATCTAAATTTAAATTCAGCTATATACACAATACACAGCCCGCCGCGCAGACAGCCACACTTTGCTGAGAGATTCTCAGGTGCAGATGTAAGCGCCGCGCGCGAGGTTTGTTATCTTACAATTACATGTCACGATATATTATTAATTATCAGAGAATTTTAGAAGCACAATAATAATTGCATATTGGGAAGATTTCGGTCGTTAACGCAGTACAGGGCGTGGACACTGCAATGCTAATAACGGAAAATTTTGAGGCACGAGTTTCATTCAGCTACCCAATTTATATGTGACATGTACTTTTATTAAATTCAGATAAATGTTAGTAACAATCGACGTCAACATTGTGCAACTGTAAACTGCAAAATGTTAACGTCGATTATCACTAAATCACATCTCGCAAGTTACTAATTCTTTGCACTATATATGTTACGTCACTATAGCATATGTCATTCATATTGTACGTTATATAAGATAAAAATAAACATTTTATAACTGTTTCAATGTTCAACACTGCTAAAAAACAAATACCTACTTGCCCATCGATTAAGCAGTCGCCAAAACAAGGCTCAAAGTTAATTTACCTTCACACCTCGTTTTGGAGACTGAAGGATGTCAATAAATAAATAATGGATAACATTAATACTGAATATGATGGATAATAAATAAATTAGTTTGATTTGGGTACGGTTCGACCGGGAAAGTGGTCGGGATTAGTTCTCATAATGAGTGATCACTGTCGTCAGATATATTAGAGCGGGAACTCCCCCAGGTTCCGGACGAAACGCGCACAGTATTTTTTTTTTTTTTTTTTTTGAAAAGGAGAATGTCAAACAGTATATATATACAATAAATTAAATCAAGTGATGCAATTGGCAGAGCACAATCGTAAATCCTGAGCAATAGATATCATCTATCCCTCGTAGCTCTTCTCCTCAGGTATCAGGTTGAAGGAGACGTTGGATATAGGGGCGGTCCATGCCTTCTTTGCCTTTCCACGTACACCTCTAACTGCTACTAGCACACTCCTCATTATATCCATGCTCAGGCGTGTCCTGATGTTACACATCACCTGGCTGTAGTCCACCTTTGTCTTGGTGGCTATCAACACAGCAAGTCTCCTTATGAAACGCTTGGCCTCCGGTGCCATTCCTCCTGTAGTGGTAAATACAAGGGGGACGAATGACCCTTTCTCCAATTGTAGCACTCGGTTCATGTACTGGTTCTTTTTCTCATTCTCGTGCAGAGTGTAGAGCTGTGGCATGGTCTTTCCTTGATATGTAGGCGATTTAGGATTGAAAATGCGCACATCAAAGAAAGTCCTCTCAAATGTGCTCCACACTCCTCTTGCTGATATATCAAGCCTAGCCTTATCAGCATTGTTGCCCTTTTGTTGGAAGTTGGCCGATTCTATAGGTGTTAAAAGGGGCTCAATCCTCACATCCTTGGTCACCAGCCTAAGGTATTCAGCAACGGAGTCTCTCACGTTGTTATGACGGTAGTTCACATACCCCCCTCTCTTACAGTTGAGGATATGATTGTGATCATTCTTGGCTCCATAATCGCAGAATCTTGGGGTGTTAGGGATGTCCCAACCATACCGGAGATGAACAGCATCTCTGAAGTCTTGCTTGCTGTAAGCATACCCTAGCTGTTGAATGGGAAGACATGTTAGCCAAGCTCCTGACCCATGCTCTTGTACCAGCTGCAATGACTCCCTGGTATTCTCATCCACTTCACTCATTATCTCAGCAAGCTCCTTCTTCAAGCGTAATTCTTTAACTAACTTGAGGCAATCTACTCTGCCCTTTATCTTAATTTTATCCAACTTCATCAGGGATGTCTCCTGGTGATAGATAAGGTCAACCAGCTCCTCTGTTATCTTGAGTGACGTCTGGTATTCCTTCTCCGCGATCTCTACTGGATTAACAATACCAAGCCCCCCTAATCTTACAGGTAGCGCAAACATTCTCCTGTGCAGATCAGACACATTCCTACCAATGATTGCAGGGATGAACTTTTCTCTTATACACTTCTTCAATGGGATGAAGAGGTCTTTAGTGTCTTGGATGGTACGCATCACAAAGGTCCACCGATGACATAGGGCTTTGGTATACCCTGATAGGGCTGCCTGAGGTTCATCGAGGGCAATATCTGACAACTCTTCTACATCCTTCACCCATTTCTCTACTTTCTTTTTTACATATGTCTCTCTAGCCTCCTCTCCACCTATCACTGCTCCCAGATGACGCTCCCCATCACATGTGATCTCTATACCAGTCTCTCCAAATAAAAACGTGGCTGCTGGTAGTAGCGATTTTTCTTTTAGGATAAGAATAGTCTTCACTGCTTTAGGGAAGTAGCCTAACTTGGGACCGTTCACACTGAGTAAATCCCACCACAGCCGGAGTTTCTTCAGGGTACCTGCTGCTGCAGAGTCATCTGCATACCACGCTTGCATCAATTCTCCTAATTTTGTCACGCTGGCCAGGATGTTGATAAGAGGACGAATACCGATAGCATACTCTGCCATTGCTGCCACATCCCCTTGCGTTGCCCCTTCATCAGAGTAAATTATCTCACACGAATATGTGTCGTTGACAATGAGTTTGGCTGATTTCTGATAGGTGTTTTTCAGGTATTGGTGAAACGGAGGACGCGCACAGTATTTAGAGTATCAGCGCGCAATGCTGTGCGCGTTCCCATATTGTTTTAAATCATTCGGCGATCGCGTTCAACGTGACTGGTGAGGAAGTGCTATGTTGTTTACCTAAATTCAAGCATGGTATCCATAGATAAGATTATCAGTCAGTAAGTGGGAATAACAGGCAAGTATCACTTCTCACTCAGAATTCAGTGAAATTTTTGTCACACCAATCAGTTCCATACCTGTTTTGAGCTCTTAGAAGTGACTGTTTAAGCAAATTCTTGACAGAGCTGCAAGGGGAGGTGAAATTCATCGGCCCAACTTTACGAAATTCGTTCCACAGCCATGCAGATTTGTACATAAATTGATTAGTTGGAGAGGGCGTGATTAACAAATTATCTTTCCTATTTGATAAGCCGAATAGGTAGTATAACGAAATTGGTACTCGTGACTTAATGATCTTAAACAATTCCATTAAAGAACGGTATCTGTATAGGTTCTCTATAGCAAGTAGTTCGTGTTTTGTGAATAGAGGTTTGGTGGACTCTTTAACATAGAATTCAGATCCTAGACGTTGAGAATTAATTGGTCTTGCTCTAGCACATGTCTTGAACTTGTCTACATAGGCTTCAAAGTCTCCAAAGAGAATCCTGATACACTTCTTTTGAGTAATAAATAGCGGTTTCAACTGATTATTGGGAATACCTCCCCAGACAGAAATAGCATAACCTAGGTGTGATTCAAAGAGAGAATGATATATTTGCTTATATAGTGATTCTGGCAAGCATTTCTTAATACGGTAGATACGTCCACAAGCACTACTTAGTTTCTTATTGAGAGAAAATATGTGTGGTTTAAACATGTGTGATGTCATAAATTTTACTTTACTTTTCTTTGTTTTACTTTACGAGTTTACGGTACGAGAACACGAAATGATTCCTAAAAATGGAGTTGTAATGCATTTATGTTTAGTTGACCTAACATTTGGAATGAACTACTTTATTCGACTGTAGAAGAGTGTAATAAATTTTCCAATTCATTCATTATCACTTATAACTTAAATAATAGACTAGGTTGCTAAACATTCATAATAACGGCATTGGATTTATTGTTTATACACCATAATTAGAAACCGACCGGATATCCGGCTGAATCCGGATCCGGCCAGATATTCGGCTTCAATATCCGGTTCCGGCTCCGGTTTCAAAAAATTTGTCGGATTTTTGCTTGTATCACGTTGCGACCCCACGATCGTTTCACTATCGTCCTGACGATACAGGGGGAGCCGCGTACTTGATCGTGCGCGGCGGGTCATACAACGTATGACAAATTTTTGCCCGATATTTCTTTTTTAAAACGTATTTCTAAAATCTTGAATATTTCTCGTCACATTTTAACTCGAATCCCTAAAAATCAAAAATTTTTGACTTATAGGTGCGGACTTTAAAAAACCAAAGTTCATATGATTATTTGTAGCGCGATGCGTTACTGTGCCGCGCCGAGCTGAATTGACTTCATCAATTAAATGATTATGTATGTAATGAACATAAGTATAATAGCCTGAGGTCCTGTCTAAGGTTGACTTTTGGTGCCTTAGACTTTTCTAAGGTTGACTTAATGTGAAATAATTGGTCTATCATGATACGATCAATGATACGCGCGGCATCGTTGAGCTGAGTCAAAAATCAAGCCGCGCATGCGCGGCTTACGTATTTGAACATTAAAATGTATTTGCTGCTGCCGTAAAGTACCGATTTTTCCACACTTCGTGTGCCAGGCAAACGCGAAGGTGGCCTACATGACAGACCAAGCTTACAAACATAACAAGTTATCAGGTTTATAGCCACACAGTATCGAATTCAAACACCTTCTTCACTCACCAAGAAATTTGCGAAATTAAAAACATAAATTAGAAAACAAATCTGCAACCAACCCGACCAATAATAGAGGTCGGTCTATCCAATAGAACAGTCGTATTACGTTCACAAAACTAATCAGTTTCTTTATATAATCGACATACAACACCTGAACATATCTTTTAGGGAAACAATCTGATCAACATAGCTCACAACACAAATAATTAAAAATCATAAACTCTCCCAAAATTTATAGACATATAAAACAGTGCTAAACATAAGATTTAATCAGAGTCCTGACTGCATTAAAATTAAACCAATCAGATGTTTCGCAACTTTGTGATGGCTTATATAAGCAGCTGAATAAAATGTTCATGTGATAAAATTTAGTTGTCGTCTATGATTAAAACTTAGATTTGGTGTAATGAACATGGACGTGTTCAAACCTGGTTGGTGGTTTTGTTTCATTTTTCCCACTCATTACTTCTGGGCCCCCAGATTGAAATCTGTAACATTTTAAGAAAAACTGAAACTACTGACAAAAACTAGACCCTTTGACTGAGGGCACCCTTGAATCAGAATTTTTGTAACATATTCAGGTCCTGAGATATAGCAGTTTAGTTGGGGGCCCTGGATATTGAATTTTGTAACACATTTCTATGTTACACTTTTTCAATGGGTTTTTAGAGAAGCTTCTTGATAGTTTTTCAAGTTCAGACCAGTTTTTCTAGGTCACAAAGGGTTCCATCAATCATATTCTTGACCAAATTTTGTACTTGGGCCCAAAACATTGAATTCTGTAACATATTTATGTTTTCACTGCCAAGGTCATATCTGGAATATTCAATATATTTTTGTATTGGTAACATGGTTTTTAGATTCTCATACAAAATTGTAAAGCAATCCTTATTCGTATAATTTGATAAAATGGCTGCGGAACTTGAATAATGTAACATTAGAAAGTAAATGTATAGAGTATAGTATATAGTATGTATCCTAGTGTGAGGGGTGTTAGGCAAGCTATATTATAGTTTTTGAAGTTCAGACCAGTTTGCCTACGTCATAAGGGTTCCATCAACCATATTATTGACCATAATTTGTACTTTGGCCCAAAACATTGAATTTTGTAAATCCATAGATGGACATGGAACTCTGCCATTTCAGTGGATAAACTCGTGACCTGGCATTTTATTGTTACAAATTTCAATATATAGGGCCCAATTTCTATTTTCTATACAATTTGATATATAAATTAAAAGTTTTTAAATATCCAACCTTTAATCTAATTAGCTATATTCATTTGATTAAATTTACCGCGTTCTGTCGCGGATTGTCAATTTAAATTACATTACATTTAAATTGTTACAAAATTCAATAATTTGGTCCCAATTATCATTTTTTTAATTTGTTAAGTTGTTTCATGTCTTTATTTTAATGCATCAACCAACTTAAAACCAATACTAGATCAAACAACTCTGTATAACATACTCATTTGTAACCATGTTACGTTATTCAAAGAAATGGGCCTTTTATTGATTATGAACCATATACCAAGATTGTGGTAATGCCTTTATACAAGAATTGCTGCACTAATAACCTGGTTTGAGAGTTAAATACATATCCTACACTAGCTGTGGTTGTAACAAACTATAAAGATAGATTCATGAAAACAAGATGTTACAAAATGTCCATTTTGGGCCTTTTTGTGTAACCAAAAGTGGGCCTTTTTTCATTCTACAGCTAAGCAAATACCTAAAGTACATTTTTTGTGAAGCAAGAATCTTTAAAATTTAATAATTGGCTGAGCCATTGAAAAGTGTAACCAAATGTTACATTTTTCAACATAACTGAGCCATTTTACAATATTATTCATAGCCGATGACCTGAGACTATTTGTTATCACAATTTTAATCATCTCTGAAAGTTTCAAGACCATCGAGTAATTATTAATGGAGTTATTGTAAAAATGAGAAAATCGCCCATTTTGGCAGTGAAACAAAACCACCAACCAGGTTTGAACATGTCCACATAATTTACCACGTCTTTTGCATAAATTCAAAATCTTAATATCATAGTCCACCCTTTTTTGTTATATCCCTGGTTTCTATAGACCACGCCTTGCATGCTCTCAGAACCAAATAACTTGAGAAATTTGTGGGTGCCATTTATAAATTAGAAATTATATAATACAGATAAAGAATCACAGATGAAGACACACAAGTAATTCTTAACTACAGGATTCCAGAACACAAACTAAAAACTATCATCTGTTCTAAGAACGATACCATTTATCGCTCAACGATCGATAATCACCATCGGTCGGCGCTAATTTCACTATTCTAAAGCGGGTCAATGGAATCGTCCAACTCGGAAAGCCCGTTCGAATTAGAGTAATTGTTATCGATCTTCTCTACAACTTCAAAATCATGATCTTCTCTTGAATTATTTTCACTACTATTGTTTTGGAAGGTTGAATGTTCGTTGCTGTTATCTTCAATCATGTCTGAGTCTTTTATTGGAGTTGATGTTCTGAAATAGAAAAGAAATCATTATGCGTCAAAACAGTATTTTAAGGTTTGAATATGGTACGATGCAAAGCACAAACAAACCAATCAGTCCATGGATACAGCATTTATTAAACGAAGAAATCTATTTGTTAGGACTGGTTACATATTATTACTGGTTATGATTATACATGTATTATGTATTATTATGGATAACAAATTACATCATATTTATTGCAGATCATACTATTTAATACAACTCATTCGGCAATATTGCACAACTGGCGAGATGCCAATATTTATTGCAGGTGTGATCTCTGTTACAATTGTTAATCTTCGTACAAGGAATGAGGAATGTAAAATTGGAATGTGTGTATGATGAAGTTTACTGATCAAAATATCTTTTTACACTCCAAGTTTTAAATCAGGATATCATGAGATCTGCAGTTTTGAGAGTGTGCCAGTAAATTCTTAATTTTGGCTAAAAGTAGTGATGAAATCAAATGAGATACATTTGCATCGATCAAAAATTAATGGTAAATTTAAGAAAAAATATCATGTTTCCAGCATTCCGCAAAAAGTTTTAAATCAGAATGTGTGTTCAAATTAAAACTGTGTTTGAGGTACTTCGATAGCTCAATTTAAGTTACACTACCTTTTATTCAAATTCTCGTGATAGAAGTTGGAGAAAGCAGGAATACCCGTGACCACCTCATACATCACTCCACATCTGTAACAATCATTAATACTATGTAAAATCCGACATTTAATATCAAACATAAAAAACCAAACCCCAGGAGCTGGCTGATAACGGCATCAAATTTCATCCAAATTGTTATTACCCTTAATTAATTAATTACAAGGAGAAGTCACGTACCGTTTAGGGATATCCTGCATAAACCCCCTCATGCTGTCCCTAAGACTCTTCTTCTTGTACACTCGCACACACACACGTTTACGTAACACCAGCTCCAGCTCCATCCCGTATGGCAGTGACACATCTACACCAACCTGCAAAGTAACATAACTGATGATATCTGATGATATCACGTGACATTACAATGCATTACAATACATTACAATGCATGGCATTTTGTAACACTGTACAATGTACATCACGCATCACAGCTTCAGTGTAGCATTGTGTAAATTGAAGAGGTTGAAGGAAGTTATATGTAGCACTTGAGCCAAATAACAATATACAGATCACACTATCCGTAGTGCAGCCAACAATATGATAGGGTAATAAAACCCCAATATAAAACCCCAATATAATCTACTTATTCACATCCTCACAACTAAAAGTAGGCTGACAACAGCTACTGAATGTAACTACAGTTTACCCAGGTGCGGTACATGATAAACTGAGTAGTAGCAAACCCTGTTATACACAAAGGACCCGTGTGTAGTATACACGAGTGTTTACACAATGCAATTACTAAACAGTAAAGCCAGATTTAGTAGCTTCTTTAGTAAGGAGTCCCCTGGGAGCCAAGTTAATACCATGCTCCAGATCTCTCTCTCTCTAATAAGCCATCTTATTATTATACATAATACATACTAATTAACATAATACAGTAGACTTGTGGTGGCTACCAGTCATGTTCCACAGAACGGATAATTAAGAAGACAGACTGCACATGCACTAAGTGCCCTTTTTAAATGTGCCTTTAACCATAGTGCCGCTTACAAGATCTTGGATCTGACTCCAACTCTGTGTTTCCTTGAGTTTCTCAGCGGTTAGATATTATCCTCTTGTTCGCTAATTACCAACTTAGTGCCAGCTAATTACCCAGTATCCACTAATAACCAACTAATTACCAACTAATTACCCACTAATTACCTACTAATTACCCACTAATTACCTGTAAAGTTAGGTAGATCCTCTGTTCAGGTTCAGTCAGGCAATTCAAACTCTCTGTCTCGTGAGTGGAGCTGTCCCAAGCGGAGATAGCACAAACTCTGTGCTGGTCGTGTTTTACCTGAGGAGGATAGTACTGTAACACGTTAGATAAATAGTTAATTAGTTAATTAGATAATTAGTTAATTAGTTAATTAGATAATTAGTTAATTAGTTAAGTGATTTTTAAACATTGTTTATTTAATTGTAAGGCCTGGATTTTAACAATTGTATTGTCAAGCTTTTAAGAAATACACGGCACAATTTCTACTTGACTTGACAACAACAATTCCTCTGAGAAAATACTTAAACTTAACTTTGAGTCAATCTCTCATGATGTAAGTAAACATCCAGACTAACATTCCTTATAATTACTTAAAAGTATGAAATCACAAACACACTTAAAGAAGTCATGCTGTGAGATCACAAGGACAAGTAAGCTAAATTAACGGTTATTATAACGTCAAGCTAATGCCATCACATAGTGACAGCAGATGGCATTATACACGCACTAGCTACATGATACATATTTAGTCTGATAGTAACTTAGTAAAGTGTAGATGCGTGGTCTTACACGTATTACCAAGCATGACTGAGGCCGTTACATGATGCATAGTTTACATAGCGGAATAGTTGCAGCTCCCTTACTCAGTAAGGTTAAATAGTTCTGGGTTGTGAGATGTGCGGTATTGTGCGGTAATGCGCGGTATTGTGCGACAATGTGCGGTATTGTGCGGTAATGTGCGGTAATGTGAGACTGGTGAGTGGTGAGGTATACTACTGTTATTACTAGAGAATAGTACTGTCTTTAGGCAGGCGTAGAGAAGAGAATGCTTACAATTCGAGTCATACGTGAGCATCAATCCAACATATTTAAATTGGATGATTCCTAATTATTTGATTGAATTAGATTAATAAGTTAAGAAAAATGAGAAGTGTAATCAATACAAGGCTAGATCAATAACTAAGGATAATTATAATGGTACTAAATTAAGGAGTAAGGGTAGTAAGATAATTGGATAATTAAGCGTAGTAATATTATGATGAAATTAACTACTGAAAAGTAGGCTTACGGGAATTTATAATATGGTACATAACATAGCAAGATGACAACTAAAATAACAACAAACTAACTGTAGTGAGTCTGATCATCTGGTTAGGATCCTGACCACTAACATTGCTCCTCTCCCGATAACAATCCTGTTTTTAGGGTTCTGTCTCAGCTGCTCGTTGACGTCTGCAAACAAGGTGGGTATACGGGACTCCATACCCTGGGGGACAGGGCGCGTGTCTCGTGCACCTGGTACACCGGAGTTCTCTTTAGGAAGGAGCACTGCATCACGCTCACGCAGTAATCTGGCAGGAATGTTGCGTTAATAATTGGTAGTCAGGATAAAATACTTAAGTCTGTCTCCGGCACAGACTAAATAAACAAATATTCAATATACAGGGCGGGCCAGGATTAATTTCACGTACTGAAGAGCAATATCTTGTTTCTCTTATTACTATAGAGTGAGTACTCATACGTGAACATAGCTACATTTAGGAGTATAAAAGCGGTGCCAGCCAATTTAAGCGCCCTAATCATCTCGCACACACATAATCATTAACTTCATGAATAATAAAAGTATCCTGCACACAGACCACACAGTATACACACAGTATGAGTATACACAGTATCCACACAGACCTGATCCACTCCTCCAGAAGTTTCCCCCTCTCCTCCTCCTCCTCCTCTGTGAGAGCCTCCTTCTCTGTGAGGCGGTGCAGTTGTTCTCCTATCCTGTTCTGGACTGACTCAAGCGCTTCACTCCACGCACACCGCAGCTTTAGCAGATCCTGGGAGAAGAGAGTTTTAATATTATGTGCTGTGTCAACTATCTGTTAGTTCATGACTGGGAGGAATTGTTTCAATTAGTTTTCACGTGAAACTGTCAACACTTTCAGTATCTGTTTCAAGACTTGGGACAGAGCAGCAGAGCTGTACATGATTTGTTATTCGTCATGATATCATGTCGAATGTTCAGCGTGTTTGGTACTACTTGTAATGTACAGATATTACATGTATTATAAGGTATTACTTGTGTTTGGTATCAGACTAAACTGTTTCTCTGATACTGAAATATATATTAAATCGCTACGTATAAGCACTAAGCGATCCGTCATCCGAGGGACCGAGTAGCAAGATTGAAGAAACTACATAATATACACCTGTAGTTATGAAGGCTAAGTAGCAATTAAAATGAGCTGTCAGGAAACAGGCACACACTACATTTATTGTACGGAAATAGAGTATTTAGTAGGCTGTTTGTCTCCACAATAAGTAATTGCAATAAGATTGGATTGTGAGGTATTTATAGTCAAACTCACATTCAACGAGCTTGTCAATATAATGGTGTCTCAAGAAAATGTTATTATATTCTACTCCGAAATCCGAATATATAGAATATATTATATTGCCGATTACGCGTTTTAAAAGGATCACCTTATCGAATTGGCACATTCACCACTAATAACAGGAATTATTTAAATCCTATTTTACTTCAACTATGATCATTCTATTCGAAACCTTCCACAGCAATGCAAGAGATCCCTAATTAACAAAACAAAAAATTGTCTATTGATTAATTAATTATTACATATAATTAACTACAAACCTCGTTCTGGTAACTGTCGAGAGCGGGCTGATGTCTGGTTTGAGTGTGGACGTTGCCGATGCTAATACTGCTGATGCTCTTACAGGCGATGTTACCTCCTGCCCCAACAGGTAACACTCGCACTAGGATACGGCGGGATAACCCCTGTCGTAGCTGAAAGGGGAGTGTTAAATGAGGTTAAGTGAGGCAAAGGGGAGTGTTAAATGAGGTTAAGTGAGGCAAAGGGGAGTGTTAAACGAGGTTAAGCGAGGCGAAGGGGAGTGCTATTCTAGAAGTTTTGTTATTAGATCGTGAACGTACAGCTCAGATAATAGTTTGATTTGAAAAAGAGATTAGAGTCAAATAGCGGGTCTCATAGTTAGTATCATTGTTTATACTGTTATATCCGGTTATTATATGTTATATAACAGTATTATGCACACAAGGAAATAGTTTAGACGATAACATTCAGGTTAGAGTTGATAAAACGTAAGGTATTTGGTTTGTTGTCTCTGGTATGTTGATATTTTAAGGTAAAACGCCCTTCTTGATGACAGATATCACAATTAATATCGTAAAGGTATGGGAATAAAACTGGAGGCAAGTGTGATATTTGAATATAAAGGTACTGAAACTAAGTTTAACTTAGCCTTCGGCCGGACACTAAACTTCAAGTCTGGTAACTCAGCTTTGAGCAAAGAAACTGAGATTTAAATTTAATATGATATAGTCCTCGGTCCACGTTTACAATAATCACGAAGATACATTTTATTTGATCGCTATCAGATCAAACCACGCATTTACGTTAGGCAATTAGAAAAAAGTTTACAAGAAAATTTCTTGTAAACATTTTTCTAATTGCCTAATGTAAATGCGTGGTTTGATCTGATAGCGATCAAATAAAATTTATGCGTATTGGTCTGCATTTAATGCAGACCAATACGCATACATTTTAATGAGATTACAAAGTGAAGAATAAAAATGAAAGAATTACCAGAGTAACTCTAAAATGTAAAGTTTTACCTGGTAAATACCGCCAGTCTTGATATCATTCCTCTCCTGGACCTCTACTGCTGAGTATATCCCGTTATCGTTTATCTCCAATATCTGGAATTTAATAGGAATGTAAACAACAATGTATTGAGGAATGTACTTAACAATAAACATGGATTAGATGAATATTTTATGTTTACACTGAACGAATATTACACGCCTGTGCACCTAAGATCAGTGCACCTAAGATGGCAGTTTTAAATCCACAGCCAGGATCTTATCGAATATTCAAGTCAATTATCAAGTAGAGTTCAATAACCAGGAATTGTAGTTCTGGTGTTTAATTATAATACTGTATCTGACAGTACTGTGGAATGACGAACAACACGCCATTCTCCTTTAAAAGGTTTTTTAACCGTTTTTTTAACACTTCTAACGGGTTTTAACGAAATTTTTTTAATACAAAAAGAAACCAGGAAGATAAAAATTTTTCGCGCCCCTAACAAACAAAAAGATACACTTTCCCCCTGTGGCGGGTGTTAAAATGAAAAATCCACTGAAATTCTTGACCGAAAACTTCCGACTTGAAAAACTAAAGTCTTTCTATTAACAGTGAAAAAAAGACGTCCCAACATGTAAAAATTCTAAAACTTGGGATAAAATTTTAAGTTTGTGGGGAAAAGTTTTACGCCAATAACACCTTTATTAACGGGAACGACGCCCTGTGGCTTACACCCCGAAAAATTCAGTCACAAAGAGCCTTAAAAAATTTTCTTTCAAATGAAATTTTTTAAATTACTTTGATTTAAAGTAAAATGTAATTACATAGTGCCATGAATGTTTGGGGGGAAAAAACCTTTCCCTTTTCAAAATGTCTTTACGAGCTTATTCGCATCATGATTACGGGATTAGTTATTTGTGGGTTAATTTTAAATTTCCTTAATGTTACTTTTTTAGGATACCACACCATTATTTTCTATGTTAAACAAATAACTTTACCAATTTCCTACTTGAGCAAAAAGACAAAGCTTTTCATCTGAAAATTCCGCCTACACACCCCAACAAACTCCCATTTTCTACACCCCACTTCCACACCACTTTCAAAATTTTCAAAATATTACCCTTTTCCCCCGGGACTAAGGAGCCCCACTAGTTCACCCACCTCACACAACACACCTGTCCACTTGGGACTTTCCCACACCACACTGAAAGAAAGAGGGCAATGTTATAAACACTCCACAGCAGTGAATTTTTTAAATTTTTTCCAAATTTTTTCCTTTTAGGTAAAAACACACAAACTATGTCTTTATGTTGTGAAACAACGGTTCTATTATTGCCCCCGGGGAAAGGAAAACCGCGCGGGTTAAGGGTTTTTTTGAAAAAAAGCTCCCTCTGGAGAACTGTCTGCATTTACACGTTGTAAAGCGTTGTTGAGGAGTAACTAGGGTAATTACCACTGTTTCACAAGTCAATTAAGTGATTAAGTGATTACACACGCAGAAGGTCCTGTGGTGTTTTCTGTCGTTGTTGTGTAAAATGTGATCTATTTATAGACGATCTGAGAGATGTTAAAACTAAGTTCATAAGTATTACTAACAATAACATACCGTAACTAACGATAACATAGCGTAACTAACCTCTAGGATATATAATAATCACAGTATAACGGAGCCTCTTATCGAACAAATAATATTGACACGGATATTAACTCATAAAGTCTATGGAAGATCAACTAATTGTGAGTTCTTGTAAAGTATTGCGTAGTTCGAGCTGCTCAGTCTCCCAAGATAACAATATTCATCTCAGTAAGTGCACTACAAATTATACCAAAAAACGGTTTATCTTTTCTACATAGTACATACAGTATTACATTGTATTGCTATGATAATGGTAGGACTTTGTGTATAAAATGTATAAAATGTACAATGTCACTAATTCTTTGTAAACATGTTATTATCAACAGTATAACCTCTAGCTACCAGACCTCTTGGTGAAAAGCAATCATGGAGAAGTGTGGTAGATCAACGACAATAAATTTTTTGACAGACAGGACAGCGAGATACTTCGTCATCAAAGTTGTTTGGTAATTTATGGAGGTAGAATTAACATTAACAGATGAAAAATTGGGGAGAGGAAACAAGCCCGGTAAAATGTAAATGAAGTGGCCTGGTAATTAAAGCCCATACTTGTGCAGGAGGTGCATTTTGCTCTAAGGTTTTTTTAAACATATTTGATAGATTTACAGATCTGGCTTGACAAAAATTTTCAGAAACATCATGTTGCCGGGAAGCAAAAAATCCGATGAGTTTTTAGGGGGGTGGGGTAGGGGGTTTGAGGGGGGTTGGGAAGGGTTGTCACAATGACGAGAAATTTTTTGCAAAAAATTAAACAATCTTTATTTGTTGATATTATTAACCCCCGTTGCCTAGAGTGGTGGGTCTGCACTTGAGGAAGAGTGGGTCTGGCCGCTAGAATTGGTGGTCTGCAATCTAGAAGTGGGTCTGGCAAACCAGAATGGTGGGTCTACAATCTAGAAGTGGGTCTGGGCAACCAGAATGATGGGTCTGTACCCTTAAAGAGTGGTCTGACAACCAGAGTGGTGGGTGTGCACTTGAGAATAGTGGGTCCTGGCAGCTAGAATGGTGGGTATGCAATCTAGAAGTGGGTCTGTTAACCAGAATTGTGGGTCAACACCCTTGAATCGAAGAGTGGGTCTGACAACCAGAATGGTGGGTCTGCACTTGAGAAGAGTGGTTCTTGCGGCTGGAATGGTGGGTCTGCAATCTAGAAGTTGGTCTAGCAACCAGAATTGTGGATCTGCAATCGAGAATGATGAGTCTTCACTCTAGAAGAGTGGGTTCTTCTGACAACCAAATAGTGGGTCTGCACTTGAGAAGATGTGGGTCAGGCGGCTGGAATGGTGGGGTCTGCAATCTAGAAGTTGGTTCTAGCAACAGAATTTTGGATCTGCATTCGAGAATAATAAGTCCTTCACTGAGAAGAGTGGGTCTGGCAGCTAAGAATGTTGGGTATGCAATCTATAAGTGGGTCTGGCAACCAGAACGGTGGGTCTGCAGTCTGCACCCTTAAAGAGGTGGGTCTGACAAACCAGAGTGGTAGATCTGCACTTGAGAAGAGTGGGTCCTGGCCAGCGGAATGGTGGGTCTGCAATCTAGAAGGTGGTCTGGCAACCAGAATGGTGGGGTGGTACGTACACCCTTGAAGAGTGGGTCCTGACAACCCGATGGTGGGTCTGGACTTGAGAATGATGGGGTCTTGCAGCTGGAATGGTAGGTCCTGCAATCTAGAAGTTGGTCTGGCAAACCAGAATGGTGGTGTACGTACACCCTTGAAGAGTGGGGGTCTGACAACCAGAGTGGTGGGTCTGGACTTGAGAAGAGTGGGTCTGGCAGCTGGAATGGTGGGTCCTGCAATCTAGAAGTTGGTCTGGCAACCAGAAATGGTGGGTGTACGTACACCCTTGAAGAGTTAGTCTGACAACCCGAGTGGTGGGGTCTACACTTGAGAAGAGTTGGTCGGCGGCTAGAAGGTAGGGTCTGCGATCTAAAAGTGGGTTCTTGCAGCCAGAATGGTGGATCTGCACTTGAGAAGAGTGGGTCTGGTGCAGTCTGCACCCTTAAAGAGTGGGTCTGACAACCAGAGTGGTAGATCTGCACTTGAGGATTAGTGGGTTTCTGGCAGCTGGAATGGTGGGTCTGCAATCTATAAGTGAGTCTGGCAGCTAGAATTTAGTGGGTCTGAAATCTAGAAGTGGGTCTTGCAACATGAATGTGGGTCTGCACCCTTGAAGAGTGGGTCTGGCCAATCAGAAAGGTACGTTCTACTACTCTAGAAGAGTGGGTCTGGCAACCAGAATGGTGAATTTTCGCCCTAGAAGGGTGAGTCTGGAAACCAGAAAAGGGTGGGTCTACAATCTGGAATAGTGGGTCTGGCAACCAGAATTGCGGGGTCTGCATTCTAGAATAGTGGATCTTCACTCTAGAGAGTGGGCCTGGCAACCAAATGGTAAGTCACACTCTGTCACCAGATTTGGGGGTCTATAAACTAGAATAAAGGAGATATGGCTACCAGAATTGTGGGGTTTGGACACCCGAATGGGGGGTCCTTCACTCTAGAATAATAGTCTGGTGGGTCTACACTTTAGAAAAGATGGGTCTGGCAACTAGATTGGTGTGTCTGCAATCAATAAGAGTGGGTCTGGCAACCAGAATAGTGGGTCTGCAATCAAGGGAACCAAGATGATTGAGTCTGGCATTCAGAATGTGGGTCTGCACCTTAGGGTAGTGGGGTCTGGAAACAAGAATGATGGGTCAGAATTCATTGAAATAGGTGGGTCTTCACTCTAGCTAAGTGTGGGTCTGGCAACAAGAATGGTGGGTAAGAATTCTAGAATAGTGGGTCTTCACTCTAGAAGAGTGGGTCTGGCAACCAGAAATGGTAAGTTCTACACTCTGTCAAGTTGTCAACCAGAATTGGGGGGTCTAAACTAGAATATAGGATATATGGCAACCAGAATTGTGCGTCTGGAGTCTAGAGTCTAGAATAGTGGGTCCGGCTACCCGAAAGGTGGGTCTTCACTCAAGAATAGTGGGTCTGGCAATCGGAAATGGTGCGTCTACACTCTAGAAGAGTGGGGCTGGCAACCAGAATGGTAGGTCTTCGCCTTAGAAGAGTGGGTCTGGCAACCAGAAAGGTGGGTCTGCATTTTAGAATAGTGGGGTCTTGACTCTATACCTACTGAAGAGTGGGTCTCCTCTCTAGAAGAGTGAATCTGGCAACCAAATGGTAATTCTTCACTCTGTCAACCAGAATTGGGGGTCTATGAACTAGAATATAGGAGATATGACAACCAGAATTGTGGTCTGGACTCTAGAATATTGTGGGTCTGGCAACCAAAATGTTGAGTCTGCACTCTAATAGAGTGGTGTCTGGCAACTAGAATGCAGACACGTAGCCAAGGGGAAGACCCCCTGGAAAAAAATGAACCCCAAAAAAAAATAGGCCCCCTAGTCCCCATGGTCGCCTGGGTAAGTGGGCTGTGTTTATGACTGTTTAATTAAACGACACGACAGGCAAGCGACTGTAGCATTTCGTAAATTATTCCCAAATCCCACTATACAATATGTACTTATTCCATTCAATGTGACAAGTACTGAGTTCCCCCCTAGCCCCCAACTTTATATTATTGTGATGTCTGATTATTACTGCGCCCCCCCAGCCCACCAACCTTGTATTATTGTAATGTCTGATTATTGCTGTCCCACAAATGTCGTCTGAATCACCCTATTTCTCAAAAATTTTCCGAAGGCCAGGGCTGCGCCTGCCTAGCCCTCAACTTTGTAGTATTGTGATGTCTGAGTATAATTACTGTCCTACAAATTTCTTTAATGCCAAATGTCGTCTAAAACACATAATTTCTCAAAAATTTTCTTATTGGCTGCGCCCCCACCCCCCCTCCTAGCCAACCAACTTTATATTATTGTGATGTCTGATTATTACTGCCCTACTAATTTCTTTAATGCCTAATGTCGTCTGAATCACCCTATTTCTCAAAAATTTTCCGGGGGTTGCGCCCCCCAGCCCGGCCCACCAACCTTGTATTATTGTAATTGTCTGATTATTGCTGTCCTACAAATGTCGTCTGGAACACCCTATTTCTCAAAATTTTCCGAAGGCCAGGGCTGGCGCCCCCCAACTCTGTATTATTGTGATGTCTGATTACTTACTGTCCTAACAAATTTCTTTAATGCCAAATGTCGTCTAAACACATAATTTCTCAAAAATTTTCTGGGGGGGCTGTGCCTTCCCCCCTCCCTAGCCAACCAAAGGAGCTTCGCCCCGGCTACGTGTCGAGTCGGGCTACGTGCCCAGAATCGAAAAAAACTTAAAGGAACCTGTTAACCTGAAAAAAAAGTTTTCCTCATAATTTGACAGATTGTGACAAATAGCAAACTAAGCAATGGAGTCGAAATTCCTAAATCTCTAACTGCTCTCTAACGCGTGTAAATAGCGTTTGTATTATTTTGGCGTCTGACGTCACGAAGTCCCTTGCGCGCGCAGAAGAGCTCGTGAGACTGTATTTTTACAGGTAGAAGAAAATGACATAATACAATGTTTTTCCCCGAATAACTCGAAAAGTAAGTAATTTAGGGTACATGTTGCTTCATAAGTTGTATATAAACATGGCTTATTCTGCAACAATTTGCACACATTCAAAGACCTTTAGGGCCTTCATAGCCAATTTACCAGATACCCATAGTTTTGCTTGATTTCTGGAACCGAAAATCAATTTTTCGCCAATAACTGAAAAAGTAAGCACTTTAAGGCATATGTTTGGTTCGTAAGTCATATATTAATATGCTAATTCCGGTTCTTTTGGCACCCTGTCTAAAAACTCTACACATCCTCGAAATGGGGTCGCCCACCCCCAATGGTTTTTGGCGAATTTTTTCGAAAAAATAAGGATTTAGGCCAGTATTGCCAATAACCAAAAAAAACGCAATGCGGGGTCGTTTAAAAGCCTTTTTGAAGTCCACAACCTTTAGAAACAAGGGTCGATTTCGTTATTGGGGCAAAGGGCGTGGCCCCCGGGGGCCCACTTCAAAAAAATTCCCAAACAAAATCGTTTAACTCCTTTGGGGGGGCGGGGGAAATTTCGTGAGATTGAAAATTTTAGGTTCTTTTTCCCTAAAGCCATAAAAAACTGGGGCACCAACTTTTAGAGGAACTTTAGGGAAAAAATAAGCTTTTCAAATTAAGCTGTTTGTGTCCCTGTAACCGTGGGGACAAGTTTTACAAATTAAAAATCGGAGAATATAAAAAGTGATTTTAGTAAAAATGCTAGCCATATTTTTTTGAATTGTAAATTAAGTTGGGTCGTTTAAAAACCCCCTCTAAAAACGACGGGGGCCCAAATGGGGCCAAAAAATAAAGGTTTGGAAATTAAGTTTCAGTGGGGGATTGACGAAAACGTTGCCCTTGGGGGTTTTTTTTAAATAACCATATTTTATTTTTTTAGTACCGATGTAATCAAAGATAACAACTGGTAAGCCCGTAAGTCTAATCAAAACACCGACCCGTACACTCCCCCATATTTTTAATTTGGTAGACCCGGGAATTTTGGGGGGGAATTTTGCCCCGGGACTGTTTGAAGAACTACTTCTACTAAGGCCCAGGGACGGCCGAAAAAAAGCCTACTTGCCCTTACTGGCGACCAACATTAAAGTTAAAATTTCTATGCTATAAAAAATAATTTTTCTCCGGAATTTAACAAACCCCTACTTATCTAAAACCCTTTTTTTTAAAAACTTAGGTTTCATGGCGGGAAAAAATCGGTACAGCTCCCGCTTGGAAAACAATGAAAACAAACCAAAATTACACAAAGAATAAGAACTGTAATATCAGAAACTTTCTAACCGTACATTCACCCGCCCTGTTCAAGAACCTATATCACTGCTTTAAATCATGACGTGAGCACTGTACATCTAATCAGCTATTGCTTTAGTTTGGATGATAGCCAAAACTAAAGGATTTTGGAGAACTAGGGTAATAGTCATATTCTAAAATTTGGCCGTGAGTTACACGTGTTTTAATGACAACGATAAACATTTGTAACGTATTACGCTATGCCAGCGCGCACTGAGGGACTTCGTGACGTCACGAGGCCACAGCTTATTATTGCAATACCACGCGTTACCATCGTACGCTAGAGAGTTGGTTCTTTCCGGCGATACGAATTCTTTACCAGTTTGTCCACAGCCTGATTTAATCTTAGCCAAATTGGAGACTACAAAGTTTTCAGTTACTGGTCTTTAATACCTTAATGAATAACGACGACCTTCTTTATGAAGTTACGAGATGATAATAATTGGGAGGCAAAGTGGGTATCGGGCTTGGGGCTCATAATGCGCAAAATTTGGCCGCTGTCGAGTGGGTCTGCCTAAAATTCACAGATCTAGCTATGGGTCCGAGATATTTGTAAAAAAAAAACCTTATTTTGCTCTCAACATCTGTGTTTTGGTGACCCTCAGGTCCTTTGATTACATACGTTTTGTCCTAGAAAATCTGATTTTATCGGAGTCTTATACTTTTGAGAAGATTTAATGTTGTTCATTCATTGTGTAAATTTGTATGTAATTGATTGATTTGAAAGATTTCAATAAAAAAAGGCACGTCACGTGGTAAATATAGGTCACGTGGTAAATAGAGGTTTGACTGATCACTACAAGATAACTAACCTCGACCCAGAGCTGTAGCCGTGTCATCATCTCACTCCATCTATCATAAAGTGGAGCTGAAGCGTTGGTTGTTATAATGGATCCAGTACGAGGCACCTCTCCCATGTCCTCCTCCATTCTCAGTCCCCACACCTGAGGCAATGTGGGTTACAACAACTGGACAAGGAATAATAATAGGCTTTGGTAGTGTAGTTTGGGTATAGTATAGTTCCTACCTTAATTAAATATTAACTTCTAAAATCTACGTTAATCCTCCAAAAATCAACAGTTGACAGTTTCCCCTCTAAGTCAAGTTTAAAGACATATTTTGTACACTTTTTGGAGGGAAACGTTTGACATTTTCAACACTAAGTAAAGATATTTCAGTAACGATTTAGCTGAAAATAAGAACTGAGAGTATTCTAGGACTCCGAAAACAAACCTCCACAGCGAGTAATCCATCGTTGACATAGTTAAGAAAGCTTTGAGTAACGTTAACAGTGTAGGTCTCCTGGTGCTCAAATACGGCTGTGTTGGTTCGTGGGAGGTGCTGCTGGAACTCTAGACCGGGCAGGATCATGTCCTTGTGATCCCAGAACTTGTACTGCAATAAAGGTAATTAGGTAATTAGGTAGGTCATTAGGTGATAAGTTAGTTAGTTAGGTAGGTGATTAGGTAATTATGTAGGTGATTAAGTAATGGTAGAGTTTGGGAGGATGCCAAGTAAATGACTTGAGTCTAAATGAAGAACTGAAGAACAGATGCAGTGGTTTAAACTATCTTAATTGATATCCCAGATCCAGCGACCAGCACATTATAAATAGATTTAGTCAGGACTTTCAGACAGACTTAACGTCTTAACTGCAAGTTGAAAAGATCGCTTTCAGTCACTCGCGTGTATTAAAATATATTTAAAGAACGATTTTCCTAACTTCTTAAATTTACCATCATAATCAAAGATTTACAATTTTCTGGGATTTCTTAGTCGCTCCAAATACTCCAAATACTCCAATATAGCAGAGTTTATGAAATCCCAAGAAATTCTCAAACAATCGTCCGGTAGAGTGGAGACCAATGTCCAGATACAAATAGATTTAACGGTAAATATCTCGTTACTAAGCAACTTAATGATGTGGTTTAATTGTGTTAAGAAGATGCACAAGAACTCATTACAAGAACTCATTACCCCAGGGTCATTGAGGTATTACAATGTGACAGGTATGGGTGAGTTATCCGAATATGGGGCTTTTAGCAGGAGACCAGGGTGATGTTTCATCAGTCCCGGCTGTCACTGTGAATTGGTGACAAACCATTCGGTTCAGTCTAATATCTCAATGACGAATAATTCCGAAGCCACAATTGTGTCGGATTACTATATTCCACGGACCACAGATAAAAGGTTTAATGAACATGGTGTGTTAATATTACAATTATTGACATACTGACATACCTGGCAAAATACATAGTTGTTGAGTTTTGTGGGGATTCCGTTAGCTTCAATAACACCTATGTGAACTGTCACCTGAAGGAACAACGAAACTTTAAACTTAACTCAAAATTTGCTGAGTGAAACTTAAATGTGTTATGTAACCACACACGTTGGAAATTGGTTACTTAAATATTCTAGGATAGAGGAACATAACAATGAATTCAATTATTATTAATAGAGATAGCATAGGGGAGAATTACCTAAGCATTACGTTTGATTTCAGGGAGTAACTTAAACTAACACTAGTTATATCAACTAAAACACAGCTCTACTACCTTTAAGTAGTGTCACCCTGCTTACCTTGCTGCCGATGAGGAGGTCACCTATCGAAGCTGAATCAGTTCCAGTTCTGCTGTGGGTGTTGTTAGGGTGGGACGAAGACAGACGCTGAAGTTTCACCTTCAAATGGCCGAATACCTGAAAGAGACAATTTTAAATAAGTTGATAGTCTTCTCACGATTAGAGTTGACTCTGAAGTCTGAATGTCAAAAAATGCGTGCTTTAAACAAAATCTTACTCCCTATCCGATTACGATCCATAGCCATCAAATTCAATTTTCTAGATAATTCAAACATGTAATATTTAAAAATAATATTATCGTTCACTAATTGACGTTAAATTTTTCCAAGCAAAGCAAGTGGCGCGTCTGTTCCTTTTATCATGTAAAATTTTGGGATTTAATGTAGGGTACATTTCGAAGTAAAAAAAGTAATGCATTCGTTGCTTTTTGGAGTATCACTTCAAATATTTTATTATGATTTTAGAATATCAGCTAAAGATTTACATTGTCTTTTAATCGTTATTTAATGTGTTTATCGCAGACATATACATTTTTAGAGGACAAATCAATTCAAACAATTTTGTTTTATATGTTTGGAAATCATTTATTCAGAAAAAAGATTAACATAATAATCATAAACAGAATCATCGAGTGACTTTCACAACAACTAAACTCTAAAACAAAAGTATATAAGAAAGAGACAGTCTAATTGCTTGCCACAATACATTACTTCAGCAGCACAAAGTTAACTTTTGTACAAAACTGTCCAATCTACAAGGGCTCCAATACTTGATAACTCAAGGATCTCAGAACCATGTTCAGAAATTCGGGGAATTAATAAAATATTTAAATATCCTCCACTTAGCAAATGCAAAAAATAGCTATGCAATAGTTCCACAACATTCAATAGCTCATCTTGGCTTTAAAATGCACCGCAAACATTCCTGCTGATCATAGAATCCACTCATCTGACACCACTAGTCAACTGGTAATAAATTCCTTACATTCCAGCCGATTCCAGGTCCAGTGTCCACTAGTAACCATGGTAACTAGTAACCAGTGTCCACTGGCAACGAACTCTTCAGAGTCCGTAGATGAGACTACGAAACTCCGAAAAGCTGATAGTCCCGTCAACGTTGAGATCTGCCTCGGCTAGCAGATACATGATGTCTTTTGTTGAGATTCCAACATCCGCCTTCTGCATAGCCACCGCAACCTTTAAGAAAGGAAAGATCAACTATGAAAATACAAATATCCACTTAATTGATCCAGGGCTCGACCTAGTAGTAGAATCACTGAAATTTGTTGGCTGATATCAGTAAAATTTGTCGCTGAAATCCCCTGAATTGATCATTAAAAATATCGATTCGGAAAAATAAGTTAAGGAATTACTTCCTCATGAGATACTTCTCCATTTCCATCTTCATCTATTAAGTTAAATAAGTCCATAACGTCATCTGTAGTTGGTTTTTCTGATAGTATCTCCTCGAGACATGCCATCATCTCATCAAAGTCAACAGTTCCGTCCTGATCGGTATCCACCTTTGGAGGAGCTCATTACATAATTGCATAATTAATTTAATAATTGTCTAATTAATTAGTTTATTGGGTTTTAAGTAATCAAACGTAAAAGTGCCAAACGATTGCTCACGGCCATTACTTTCATATTAATATGCTGATCTGGATTAGGAAATGAAACAAGAATGAAGAAGGTTACCCTAGTTACCCTAGTTACCCTAGTTACCCTAGTTACCCTAGTTACCTTTTCGATCAAAGCCTCAATGTCCTCTTTCAGTGCGATCACATTGAAGTTAGCATACATCTTCTGTAGTTCATCAAACTCTAGCATTCCGTTCTCATTCACATCGTACGTTGTGAAGAAGTGTTTCATTTCTTCTTCTTCTTCTGGGGACAGGCCACAGGAGTAGATCTCTGTCATGATGACAAGTCCAATTGTTTTGTCTAAAAGAGCAGCACAACTTTCTTCCAAAGTGGAAAGATCTTCAACAAATTGTCAATACGGTTGAGCCAAAGACGGCAAACATAAAAACTCGATCTGTCTTGGATTTGGCCAGTGGTATACAGTCACAGACAATGAAATAATGGTGATATCAAGACCTTTGTCATTGTGATATACAGTCACAGACAATGAAATAATGGTGATATCAAGACCTTTGTCATTAGATCGATTGTGGCTCGTTAACCTCCCAACTTGGTAAGATTGGTATTTATTTAAGTACTGGTTAACATCATAGTCATAGGGTGATCATGAGACATATGCTGTGTTGGGTAGCGGATACAAAACAAGGAAGGTAGACAATATCCAACCAGACGATTTAAGATATAAGGTTACTGTAGCATGTTCTCTATGGTGTTACTATCATAAAACTGTATAAAATACATGTAAAATCCGGATTGGAGTATTATTTATGAGTCGCATTGTTGTAATGTATTCTGGGTAAAATTATCTTTATCCCGGTTGTTGCGACAAGTATAAAATACTTAAGTGAGCACTTCTTTATGCGATAAAATGGCAAGGCTTTTAGTAATTCGAAGGTATAAATAGACCGTATGTATATTTATAAATATAGATAATATTTATTGTGAAGGCAGCTGTGCTGAGCCGAATGCTGAATTTGCCATTATACATTTTGATGATCATGTCACATAACAAAATGAGATCCGTTATTCGCTAACAAAATGTAAAATTAAAAATCAAATTTCAATTTAATTACAACAATATTATCACGATTCACGATCTCATTTATATGTTAAGTTGCTCAACAAACTCTTCATTTTCAGCGGAGAAGACACATATTATCGTGATATCGAAGGCAAAATTTTAAATTGTGAACAAATAACAACATTTTAACACATTTAACACCCATTTTTAACACATTTAACACATTAAACACCCATTACAATTTGTTCACAGTCCGTGGATTATACTCCGGAACTCTGAGAAGCTGATGGTCCCGTCATTGTTGAGATCTGCCTCCTCCAAAAGAAACTTTATGTCTTCTGTTGGGATTCCAACGTCTGCCTTCTACATCGCCACCGCTACCTTCAAGAAAGAGATATTAATGGCACATAACTGAAGAGGCGTAATTTACTTTTATCTACAGAATGTGGCACAGTGCAGTGTGGTTCTAAATTAAAGAAGAAGAGTCAACCCCGGCCCCTAGAACACTGACCTCCTCGTGTGACACCTCCCCCCGGCCCCTAGAACACTGACCTCCTCGTGTGACACCTCCCCCGGCCCCTAGAACACTGACCTCCTCGTGTGACACCTCCCCCCGGCCCCTAGAACACTGACCTCCTCGTGTGACACCTCCCCCGGCCCCTAGAACACTGACCTCCTCGTGTGACACCTCCCCCCGGCCCCTAGAACACTGACCTCCTCGTGTGACACCTCCCCCGGCCACCAGAACACTGACCTCCTCGTGTGACACCTCCCCCCGGCCCCTAGAACACTGACCTCCTCGTGTGACACCTCCCCCCGGCCCCTAGAACACTGACCTTCTCGTGTGCACCTCCCCCCGGCCCCTAGAACACTGACCTCCTCGTGTGACACCTCCCCCCGGCCCCTAGAACACTGACCTCCTCGTGTGACACCTCCCCCCGGCCCCTAGAACACTGACCTCCTCGTGTGACACCTCCCCCGGCCCCTAGAACACTGACCTCCTCGTGTGACACCTCCCCCCGGCCCCTAGAACACTGACCTCCTCGTGTGACACCTCCCCCGGCCACCAGAACACTGACCTCCTCGTGTGACACCTCCCCCCGGCCCCTAGAACACTGACCTCCTCGTGTGACACCTCCCCCCGGCCCCTAGAACACTGACCTTCTCGTGTGCACCTCCCCCCGGCCCCTAGAACACTGACCTCCTCGTGTGACACCTCCCCCCGGCCCCTAGAACACTGACCTCCTCGTGTGACACCTCCCCCCGGCCCCTACAACACTGACCTCCTCGTGTGACACCTCCCCCCGGCCCCTAGAACACTGACCTCCTCGTGTGACACCTCCCCCCGGCCCCTACAACACTGACCTCCTCGTGTGACACCTCCCCCCGGCCCCTAGAACACTGACCTCCTCGTGTGACACCTCCCCCGGCCCCTAGAACACTGACCTCAGCTCCTCGTGTGACACCTCCCCCGGCCCCTAGAACACTGACCTCCTCGTGTGACACCTCCCCCCGGCCCCTAGAACACTGACCTCCTCGTGTGACACCTCCCCCCGGCCCCTAGAACACTGACCTCCTCGTGTGACACCTCCCCCCGGCCCCTAGAACACTGACCTCCTCGTGTGCGCCTCCCCCGGCCCCTAGAACACTGACCTCCTCGTGTGCGCCTCCCCCCGGCCCCTAGAACACTGACCTCTTCGTGTGACACCTCCCCACTACCATCCTCGTCTATCAGATTAAAAGCGTCCACCACTTCATCTGAGGTAGACTTCTCTGCCATTATCTCCTCTATATACTGCATCAGCTCATCAAAGTCTACAGTTCCGTCCCGGTCAGTGTCAACCTTTAAAGCGATTAATTACATAATTATGTAATTGCATAATTGATATGGATACTGGTGGGTGAAATACATCTTCCTGGAAAGTGACCCAGCGGGCCAGCAAGTGACCAATCAGCTTCCATCATTGACCAATCAAAAGACAGAAGTATCCGGCATTTCTACAAAATATACTGATTAACGTTTAAATCTATCTTAGCTGTCCAAATACTCGGGTACCAAAATGAAATAAACAATATTTTTAAAGCCAGAATTTAAGTAAATATAAATCATAGTTACCCTAGATACCATGGCCATAGTTACCCTTTCAAAGAAAGCCTTTATGTCCTCTTTCAGCGCGATGACGTTGAAATTAGCAAACATTTTCTGCAGTTCATCCAACTCTAACATACCATTTTCGTCTACATCATATGTTGTGAAGAAGTGTTTCATCTCCTCCTCTTCCTCGGTCGTCAGCGCGTTCGTGCTGAAGTCCATCATGGAGTCATGTGTATCTTTGAAAGGTGTTTTGTCTTGAGATGTATGTAGTAGAAACCAAAGCAAACAACACTAAAATTGCTAGACAACTTACTCACAAATTGCAGATAAAACTTCCGGCTACCTTATCAACAACGAAACAACACGACACTTTGTTTAAGTTAATATTCTAATCGACATCAGAGTAAATGCAGGTTTGGTTTCTAAGTGGTTGCTAAGTGGTTAGTGGACTATAAATTCATGAGATGGTGATTTAAGCGAGATTGGTCCAAACATTATGAAATAATGTCAAGATTATAAGAAGTTAACTGTTACACTGTGCTCTGGTCGGAAACAAAGTATAGTAGTCAAGGTATAGTAGTCAGGAAGTTACAGACGATTACCCAATTTAAATGAACGATATCTCATTCTACAGAATGAGCATAAACAGAATGCTTCCTGGAATCAGCACAATGAAGGGCACAAGATGCTGTTGAAATTTCAATTATTCATCTTCCACCCGTAGTCCCTACGATTTTAAGCCTGAGAAAGTTGGGACAGATTATCTGTGTTCCAGGCTTTTAGTGGAGATCCACAAGGACAAAAAGCTTAGAATAAAAAATAAAAGGATAATTCGATGATATAATGGTAAAATATCCGTATTATATTATCTAAACTGGATAACAAGCGACGAACAAGATAAACTAGCTAGTAATAATTGTGTACAATAATAACATAAGCTGAGAACTGATATAGAAAGGTCTCACTAGCTCATGATTCATGATTATTTAAAAATCATCTATTTTTTGGAATAACCTTGCCCTTACATAGTATACAAATATCTTATAATGATCTTGGTTACTCCTCGTTTTATCGTTTACTAACATCAAGTTGCCTCTTAGACTAAATGGCAAAAAGGTACTGTACCGACCAGCTATTAACCGGCCAATAGCCGGCCAATAGCCATAACAGAACACAAATAAGCGTCGGCTGTTTTGATTTTCCTTAAAACAAAGAGCTGACCGACGCGAGGTTGGTAGAAAGTTAAAAGTAAGCGTCGGCTGTTAAGACAGCTGTAATAGCCGGTTGGTATTGCCACTATTTGCCGACTTAATATCACCTAAGCTGCAGCAGAACAAATAAAAGTATCAAATATAATATAATTGGTCCATCGCAGTATTTAACAACGTGCAGGATTACTAATTGGACTTAAACCAATCGACCGCGTCGGGAAATTTGATTATATTTATAAGGCCATCAAGCATGGCTTAATTTAAATTAATGACATGGTTTAATTCCAGAGGACAAACCGCTCAATTTCAAATTAAAAACAAAGCTTACCGAAGTAAATGCCTGAAGCATACGTATTATATAATACGCTACTTGACATATAATACTAAACGAAGATTAAAAATTGTTTAAATTTTGAATGATTTTAAAGCATTTTGGTACGCTCAAAAAGATCCTACATATCATAATACCTATCCGCTTTCTTTTGATACAAACTCCACTAATATGAGTTCCTTAAATTTATCAGTTTATTAAGCAGAATAGCTTGCTTTCTATAGGCTGCCCTGTGTAATGAGGCCTACATGTATATTTCAGTGTGCACTACTACAATTCTAAAGCAATGATTTGACCACGGTGACATGATCAAAAGAAGTCTATTTTGGGCCGACCTCCACTGTCTTTCAAAAACATCGCATATCCCCATCACAGTGCATTTAACTGGACCGTTGCCAATATTATACCCGTATAAGGGCAGATGTTTACATTCACATTCCAGAGCCTAATCAATCCAGCCCTGCACGGTCAACGTCGCTCATAACGTAGATTGAAAAATTAAGGACATTCATTAATCCATGAAAAAGTAACTAATACGGATCAGAAACATCTAAGGAAAACAACGTTAAAGTAAACAACAGATACTACTTAACTCTTACACAAAATGTTTACCAAGCCAGTTACCAGCTAGTCCCAAGCCAAATGATTACCGAGCCAACCAAATTGCGGGATTTTGTAAATTACAACGATTATATCGATACTTCAAAGCTGAATGTTTGCAGTGCCGCGCCATTTCTGATTCACCAGGGTATATAACTATTTATTTGGGGGAATTAAAATTGGTTTCGCTTCTTACTGTAAGGATTTTAACAATGTGATCTTTTATTTTTATTCATCCACTCTTCTTCCAATATTCCGACGTACTTCACACGTTTCTTACGATTGGCTCAGTGAACAATAAGATACTCAATTTCACCGGGTAAGCTAAAGTTTTGTTCATACTTGATAAAAGCATCACGTGATCAATCAATACCCAAGCGGGAAAAAACACTTTTAGAGTAAAAAACAAGAAACAAACAAAAAGAAGAATACCGAAAGAGATACAATTAGAGAAACACTGGAACTAAACCGGAAAATAACCATAGCTTTACAAACTGTATGATACAAAGCTCCTACCCCTCCGTAACTGTTGGTTGATAATAGGTCATTTTCAGGAGTCAGCGAAACGCTGAGCATGGAGAACAAGAGTTACAGTTGCCTATTACAAATTATAACTATTTCCCCCGAAATTTGATACCAGTAACTAGTGAAGACAAGTGCTATATACTGTTACATAGCTATGATACTTTGTGGTATTATTTAAAATACGATATTATATATATTCATTATTATGATGAAACCAACTTTTATATTTTTATGAATAACGAGAGTTATTAGCAGATGAACTGATAGTTAAGGTTGAGCCAGTATTGAGCCAGTATTGAGCCAGTATTGAGCCAGTATTGAGCCAGTATTGAGCCAGTATTGAGCCAGTATAATAGCCAATACTCTAGACTAAGTATTAAGTTGTTGTACTGAAACGTCAGTTATAGAACAATGCTTCTGTGGAATGCATTGCCAGCCTATGTTAGACAGACTGAGAAAATTTGTCTTCTGACGTATGCTGGCCTGGAATATTATATATTTTATTTAAATTTATTCACCTGCACTAGAAAGCGCCGTTTTTTCTTCTTTGAAACAAGCGCGTCACGCAGTACGTGAAGGTCCATTGAGTGGTTAGATAGATTGGTATATTATAATATATAATTATGTTATTTTGTTGTTATATCGTGTGAGTTTGTAGAGTAGTAGCAAGAAGGTATCGTATACATTTTAATTTGTTCTCTTGATTATTTATAAATGATTTTATGTAGGGTCGGCACCAATGTAATTATGGTTTTACCGCCGTGTTTTGTTTCAGCCGAAATAAATTTTACTATGATGTTTACATAATGTTTCTCACTCCAGCTGCAGTCTGGTAGTGTTGAGTCTCATGCACATGAATATTTTTCTAGCTCTCTTTTTTCATGTTTTTGCCTCACAGGAGATATTGTGGTCTTTTCTAAATATAACTGTAATACCTTGATATAAAGTTCATTTGAATTTTGAAATTTAAAAAAATCATGCTAGAGATAATATAGTGACTCACATCAGAGATTCATGGGCATTGTAAAAGGAAGCATTCTGTTTAAAAAAGCTGATCTGAAACAAAAGAACCCAAAAAGAAGCGACCTCTCAGTAATCACTATCAGGTTAAATCTCATACAGGTTCTGATGTTAACTCAATTTTGAGGCACCCTGTGGCCTGTGCGCAAAATACTCCAAATGTTGTACTACCCTGCGCGCAAAATTTTCGCGCATTTCGACAGACCCCCAACCTAATTGGGGAGCCTTGTCTGAAGGCAGAATTGAGCACTTGATTTTATTATTATTTTCAATTAAAATTCCAACCCGTACCTGTCCGTTTTTGTCGACGATAGGAGGAGAGTAGCTGACGCCGATGTCGTGCCGGAGACAATGAAGGAAGAGTTTAGCGGTTCCTATAAGTACGTGACCGCAAATGCCGTCAGTTTGGGGCGGTGACTGGGGGGAGGAGCGAGCTAGGCCACTGTCTGGTAATGAGGTGGTATCCTGGGGTAATTAGGTAATTAATTGGGTACTTAATTGGATACTTCATGGGGTAATTAATGTTAATTAGGGGGTTATAATGTGTTGACACGATATGAGAGGATCTGTCTTATTCTATGTCTGCATTATACGGATTGTCTGCATTATACGGATTGTCTGCATTATACGGCTATAATGGTGTCGGTTAAACACCTCACGAAGAGTCAGTGAGATTATTTAAGAGTGTGTTTAGATTGCTAGGTTAATAAGGTTTAGGTCCAATGATTTGGATTTATTTATTTCTATAGAGAGACATTTGTAAAGCCCTGGTCAGTGACCAGGTTCAGGCAGCTTGTTGCACGCAGTTTGCAGTGCTCCGTGTTTAAAAGTCTAGCTAAACAGTGTATTATATGCGCAGCAATTATCGCTAGACAATAATATATTATTATGGGATAAAATGCACACACACACACACACACACGCAAACACGCACACACACACACACACACACACACGTCACACATACACGCACACACACATATCCCAGCTTAGAGGGTATATTATTCCCCATTATTGCATAATAACAACTGTGGACGACGAGCAGGGCTATACTGTGTTTACCTGTCTTGTGTAATATCATATATTAACCTATGCAAAAACCAATATCTACCACTACTATTAAATATTCATATAATTCACTGCTATATAAGTTAGAATCCATTGTTTGCACACTCCTTGGCCCGTAATGATCGTACATTATTAGCTCTAATGGATCTTATAATAATATTATGTAGATTGTTCTTGTGCACACATCTCTTTATATCTTGATCTAGTCAAATCACTGGGAGCATTACCAATTATATCAGTTGGAAATGTCTTTCAAACAAACTCCAGTATAATTAAATTGTGCATTTCATTTCTGCTGTTATATTATAATATGTAGTTTTTAAACTTTTCACAGTAGACCTACAGACAGAACGTGAATGAGATCTGACAAGGTCGGCTCACCTCGTTGTTGATAATTTGAGGGATAACGTCATTACTGGACACCTCAGACTTGGTTTCCTCGACTCCTAACGCTGCTAGTTTAGCTTCAAGCTGCTTTACTTTGGTGTTTAGGACCTCGTTTTCGTCTTGAAGCTGCTCTACTTCCAGTCTGTGGGGATAGTAATTTATTCTGCGAGTTGTAGAGTGACGTCACGTGATCTACTGTTGTTGTTTCAACAGAGGATAATCCTCTGAGAGGATTCTTTGGTGCGATAGAAAATTCACATGTGTATGTGATTGATAAATTTTTAATGCAATCTAATGAAATTTACTGTGAAATCTTACTTTGATTCAGTATCAGCCAACTCGTCAGCAAAACTGAAACCGCCCGTCGTGTCGTTCACTGCAGAGAATGAAGTATACTGACTCGTCTCTAACTGAAGAAGAAGTAACTGTCATGTTAGCTAATAAAATATGTAGATAATAGCTAGAGTTAGTAAATGAGTTAATAAAGAGTTAAGGGAAACTAACTGGTAGTATCTGCACGGTGTTAAATCGAATTCTCAGCAATTGGAGAGAAAGTGATGCATTATGCATATTGTATCATTTCTACAAGTTAACGAAGGATCCACCAGTCACAGTGAGTATAATAATGTGCAGTAAATTTAGAATTCCAGAAATTTAAATATTCTACAGCTCAGAGAGTGTAATGACTCATACATAATCATTGCTCAAATACTGCAGTAACAAAAGTGAAACGTCCCTGAACATTGACAACAACCTGCCTGGAATACATCCTACATCCTACATCTCTTCCTACATTCTAGATCCCGCAACACGTCGCATTCCCAAGCTAACAGCTCCTACAATTACAAAGCAAACTACAACACGAGTGTAAACACTCAACACACAACATGATAATATGACATTAATAAAACAGAGAGCTGTCAAATGTTGACTAAATGACGTTAATATGTTCTCGAGTAAACCAGGAGTTTGAGATGTGTGGAAGTGAGTGAATGTGGTGAATACACACATTTATTGTTGGGACTTTCATGTTGAAATTAAATATAGCAGTGGCATAATGAGTTTACGAGCAAAGATTTAGGAAAAAGCGGCCGAATTTTAACTTTAAATTGTCATATAGAAATTGTATGGATGTATATAACATAGTTTTATCTTACACATATAATACATACTATATAATATGTATATATATGTATAAGAAAAAACTGTCGAACAAACCCAAAATAAACCCTACATGACATCAGAAGATCAGTCTAAAAACTCACATTGTTGTTAAAAGAAGAAGTGAGAGGATCAGCGGGAGTTGTGCCTGTCGATCTGGTCCTTAGCTCCTCATATCTCTGAGAAAGCTCCTCGAAACTTCCCTTCATCTCCTCGTACTCTAACAGGATTGAGTCTCTTTCGCTGCTCATCTGCATCGTGTGCTGCTCCAAGTTCCTGAACAAACATATTAACTAATTAGATAATTAATTTACTAATTAATTTAACCTAACAATACCTCTGAACAGGCAAATTTTGTCTCAACAAGAATTAAGAATAATTGAAAATCCAGCAAGCGAGATCTAACCTGTACGCAGATTCCAGTTCCTTGACTTGAGTGAGATAAGTGTCAGCAGCATGCACCTTCACATTCATCTTCTTCTTCTCGCTGTTCAGTTGCTCTATCATGTTCTCATAGTTAGATATATCGTCCAGCAACCTGCAGATTCTAGGCTGTGAACTTGCGGGGGATTTAACCCACGAGAATGGGTACAAACTATTACATTTATCTTGCATTTAGCGATCAGATGATTAAAAAAGTGTTGACAAATATTCCCAATATTTGATTATAAAACAAGACATTTTCAAACAATATAATCATGAGCAAAATTCACGAGACACGCCCAATGATTAATTATCATAACTATCTGCTTATCCAGAACGGAGCATACCGTTGGCAGTTTTCACAGATGTGTTCCTCTGGGGTTGGTTCCTGTTTGAGGTTCTTATCTGAACGAGTGTTATCTGACGACCTCTTGGCACTGGTACTCGCTAGCTTGTCAGAACCTGAATACAAATTACAAATTACAAGTTGCATATTACAAATTATATTTATAGTGAACTTTAGAATTAGAATATACTCACTCCAGTAACTCGACAAACATTCATTAACTGGGGGGGGGGGGGGGGGGGGGGGGGGGGGATGAGATGCTGTGTTTAGCAAAGCAACGTAATATAATAGCAAGTTTCATTAATTAAACGATTTAAATGCATTTCAAAATATTGTTTTGACAAAGGAAAAGACGGCATTAAAATTTAAAACTGCAAATGTTATGGAGGGCATGCTGGTTACATCTGATTAAATACCAGACCTGAATTAATTTTCTGGTTACACGATAAACTCACTAACAGTTACAGTCGAGATTTATATCAAATTATTCAACATACTTAATACGGCAATCATGTATACAAATTTAAACGGTCTAGTCAAGTTTCAACAACTTGATCTTGACGGCTGCGGTTGTCGTTTTATAATTTCGTTTATCAGATATAGTGACAAGAATCAAGAATAGCAATAAACACGAATTGACAAGTAAGATCATCCAAGAATTAGCTAAAGCCTGGATAGCAGATCCGCAGGAACATTTGAGAAGACACGTGATTGACACGTGATTGACACGTGATTGACACGTGATTGTAAACATGACACTGCACGTTTTACTCCGGATATGACTTACCGGTGCTATTTTTCAAGTACAAGCCAGAGAAACGCAAATCAGTAGGTGTAAAGTTAATACTTGTGATAGAACCTGAGCACACAGAAAATGTACATGGCATATCAACGAAATCCTGTATAAACTATGCAAGGTTCAGTTAAAACAAGCTTATATACGCATTATATTATATTTCAATAGCTGGGCTGGATTGCCTAATTGCTTGAAATGGTTTGTTTGTAATAATTACCTAGCCGTGATCTGAAACTTTCGTTGGTGTAGGTTCGTTCTCTGACCTGGCAGTCATCTATCTGATCATACAAACTCTGAATTTCTTGCTTCAATTGCTTTTCACGGAGATTGAACTCGGTTATACTTCTGTCTCTATCGTCGCATTCCTGAGGTTTTTGAAATGATTGCAGTCTTTTTCGTATCAAAAGCGATTTTCTCAGGCCACAATTTTCTAACTTTCGACAGGCAGGTTTTTTAGCTGAAATGAAATGAAATGAAATGAGGTATTTATATCCCGCTCATATGATTAACCAACAACACAAGGAAGGTGGTTAACCATGTCAGAGCCGCTGACTGTGAGTGATGTGAGCAAATGTGTAAAAATGAACAAGAGTATAACTTAAAATTAATATAAGACCAAGACAAAACTAAAACATCTTTTATTTTAAACCACACTAAACTAAAAAGAAGCAGAGACATACAGCTGCAATATCGAAATTCACATACCTAAAGTTACACAACATAGCTATGTACAAGCATTGCAAGTGATAGAAATTAGAATTTGTTTTTTGTTATTTCGTATTACTGAAGAATAAATTTATATTATCACTGAACATGATAGTACATATTTTGTACGATTGAAGAAACTCCAATAAGCTTTACCTGAATTAAAATAGTCAACTCTTTCCGAAAGTTTTCTTTCTCAGAATTACATTGCTGAAGCTCTGATTCTATCTCTACAGCCCTCGTACGAAGGTAGGAGGTGGTTGTCTTCTGAAGAACAAGAAGAAGGTCAAAGATAGCTTCATAGTTGTTCTCAGCCAGTGCAGCAAGGTTCATTGATACATCACTTTGCCCAACAGTGTCAAACAGTCCACAGTAATAGATGTCATCCAATGTAATCGGTCTGCAAAGGATAAGCATTTGATAATATAGAATTTATGAATGAAATTTATAAAACCATCTTTTTTTGAAAAGTTAATGAAAATAGCAATTTAAGCATATAATGCAATGTCAGCGCGATTCAAATTATTTGCTAACATTTGAAAGTTGACGTCATTTACCTGTCATCATCGAGCTGAAAACCAAGTTTGTACAAGAACGCATCAGGTCCCTCTTCAAGCTCTAGCCTGTCACAAATGTTGATCAAGTCCTGTTTTGTAATAACACCATCGCAATCACTGTCAATGATATTAAACAACTTCTCAGCAGCGTTGTTCATTATCTAGAGGACATTTTACCAAATTCTCTGATCCTTCAATCAAACATATCCTTTTAAGAGTTTAGAGAATTAAAATAACACAGAATTTCAAGTAAATTTATTATTATTTTTTATTTGAAAATTCAATTGATTATTATATTTACTAGAAAGCCTCAGTGGCGTAACAAAGGGCCCCGCTGACCCTGCCTGACCCCGCCATGCAAAATTACAATGACATATTTTGAAATACTAATCTATAAATGGTACTACAATATAAGTTGCTTAATGTTTGGCCAAATGACAACTAACTAAACAAGAAAAATAAACTTGATTATATAATAATTAAATCGGCTGAACCAACACATAGCAAGAGCCACATTAACGTTGGGGCCTGTCCCAGCAAGATCGTTGTTGGTTATACTACAGCATGTGGTTGTTGAAAATAACTTGTCTTTGGGAATACAAGAGCACACGTTGTTACCCACCAGTGCAGGTATCATAGTTTAACAACTTGGGTTGGTAAACCCAAGTTTTATAGACCTTCTTGACAAGGTCTATAAAAGTATCATTGATCTGAAACAAATCATTCAGATAACGGACTACATCAGGCTTGGTCAACTTGTTAATGTTCCCACCATTGGCATTAATCTCACCAATTTCGACATAAGGTTTTTCAACTCTATTCTGAAATCTTTATTCTATTCTAACGTATCTATCAACACAACATCAATCTCATAAATTAATTCACTTTGCATTACAAGGTGAGGCTGTAGCGGTTAAAATAAGCCGTGTTGGATATTAATTAACAAAAATAAGCTAAGCTTTAATAACAGAGCAACAAATGGCAACAAATGTAAAAGTTTAATATCTGCGAGTGACAATATTCAAACCTCGATAAAGTATATCAAGTGGGTACTTCTCAGAAATGAAAAATGTATGCTAACACGATATGACTACTTTTGGGTTGATTTAATACAACTGCAGATAATTATTCAAACTTTAGGCAAAAAGGGCACATTTTGATATGATGACCATCCTTTTGGATTTTTACCCAGGAAAACCCCGAATGCTGAAATAATAGCTTAATTTTAGTGCTATCATGTGCGGCTGTGTCTCAGCTATTTTTGTTTAAATTTTACCAATATGCCACTGAAATTGACTTGTTCAAAAATTTTAAAAACATGGTTTTGAAGCCTATTTTTGGCCCTAAAATTAAAATTGCGATTTTACCAGGGGACTGGTCTATTTATTATTTCAAACTATTTTTAAACGATTTAAGGTGAAAATACGTATCGAGCAGAATATGCTCGTATAAGAGCTTTTATATATATTACATTATACTACTAAACTCATATCATAATTATACACACAAAATTATATAAAATGCTTTTGTGGCTGTGGAAATAAATTTAGTAAGTTACGCAAAATAAAACAAAATTTAATTTTTTTTGTTTTATACCACTGCACAAAACAATTAATACTTGTAGCGCGATGCACTACTGGGTCGCGCGCGCATCAAATAATGCTTCTCGCAACCACTTAAGCAGATCGGCGAGATGCGAAAGATTGACATCGTCAATCAAAATTAATACATATCATGTTATTTATTAACATACGATACAGGGGAGCCTCAACGGGTGCAATACTTGTAGAATATATTACGGTGCGCGTCCTGGTAGATTATAAACCTACAAAGGGAGCCGCGCGAGTGCGCGGCACCATGTATCGTAATATGTCGCAGAACATTTTTGTACCACGTCGTGACCCCCACTGTCGTTTCACTACAGGGTTTCTACAATACAGGACCGGGAGCCGCGCACTTGTGCGCGGCGCGGCGGGTCATATATGACAACGTATGACAAGGTTAACGAGCGCTTGATTTTTCATAAAATAGTTTGACAAGCTACAGAATTAGGGCCTGTCGTGATATTATGGATCGCGCGCTTAGGTTCCACCAGGATCTGGCAGTCCTCATAATTCTGCGGCCTCTATGTATCGTCATCTCGTACAACTCTTTAAGAATCTTAGGGATTTGGCATGTAAAAATGTGCAGCCTTCCAGACATTGATTGAGTTAACGAGGTGTCGTACGTCACCTCAAGATCGGGTGACAGGGGGCTGACCAGGCCAGAACCCAATTGATTGGGTCTGAGGTCACGTGATTATGAGCCTGAGGTCACGTGACTATGACGTCACCAGACCTTCCTCTCCGTTTCCCGCTCATTGGATCAGGTGAGCTTGCATGCATGTGAATGTGGGTGTAAGTATAGCTGTACTGTAGTTTATACCTAATTAAACCCCTATAGAAACTGAAAATTTATTTTCTGGCAGAAAGCTAGAAATTTACCAAAATATCGTCATTGTTTTAAATTTATTTTGATGACCATTCCTAACCTAAAATCGCACGAGAAATCTATTAAACTTGGTTTCAGAACTCAACGATGCTTCCTTATGCCTAAAAATCAATGTTTTATCGATACAATCAACATCTCGATCCTGTAGTTCAACTTATTACTTAAAGGGTTCAAGTATAGTTACGCGGTAGACAAACTAAACAAAATTGTAGGTTTATAAAATATAACCTACCAGGATGTGCGCCGAGCTAAACTCGTCGAAGGTAATATTTGGAACAAATATTTTACGAGTATCACCCGTTAAAAATAAAACACCAGTTTAATTGTCCTTTTGTCTGAACCATTATAACACTTATGATTTCCTTCGAGATTTTTTTAGAAGGGAAAAGAATATTCAAACAATATACACATAATATAGCAATGGCCAATTGGCTGACTATAAGGTCATGGCCTGAACAAACAGTTTTTTTAATAGTCAAGTGATGCTAAGCAGAGCACAAATATGTAATAAGTTAATAGATAAAAATACTGATTCAATGATTAAAATTATAGCTGTGAGTGTCAATAAATTACTGTGTCATAAAAAAAGGAACAATGTACACGTGATCTGAGATACCAATATCTCAATATCAAAAGGATAGTGTCTAGAAACATTCATAGTCCATGGTGGCAGGTATCAAGTTAAACGAAGTTACACTGACTGGCAATGTATACGATTGCCGTCTCCCTCTCTCACCCCTGACCGCTATCAGGGTGCTCCTGAGGATTGAGAATCTAATCCTGGTGCGCATGTAACACATAATAGCCGCATAGTCTTCTCCTCTCTTCAGGATAGTTTTTCAGCGAGTCTCTTGTGGTATCTTGTGGCTTGTGGACCCCATCCGCCATTTGTTGAGTATATAAGTGGGGTAAAGGTGCCTTTTTCCACCTGGATGATTCTGTTGTTGTACTTTTTCATTTTCCTCATTTCATGAGCTTTATAGATCTGTTCCATATCTTTTTTGACATATGTGGGTGAGTTCGGGTGGGTAACGCAGACATCAAAGAATGTTCGTTCAAATGTGCTCCAGAGACCTCGTGAGGATACATCAGGTGCAGCTCTATCAGCATTGGTACCAACAATTTCTTCATTATCAAGGGGTATCAATGCTGGCTCAGTCACTACATCTCTGCATACTTCACGCTGCAGCTCTGCATTTAGATCGCGGATGTTGTTGTGTCTCATAGAAACATAGCCAACTTTCTTGCATATAAGTGTGATTTCCTTCGAGAACATCTCCGGATGCCATGAAAAAATGCAGATGGTTTGTGACCACCTCAGCAAGTGGTGCATCAAGAACAAGCTAGTAGTGAACTGTGATACGAATAAAACGGAGGCCATAATTTTGAAAACTGCAGCTTATACTGAAGAACAAAAACCTGCAGAATTATGTATTAATGGGAAAAGCATCAACTACGTCCAAAGCACAAAGGTCCTTGGGGTAATAGTAGATGAAGACCTCAATTTCAAGAAACATGCGTCTCAAAAACTTAAAGAATGCAAAAGAAAGTGGGGATTAATAACAAAATCAACTAACCGCAACTACGGTCTAAACGTTTTACAGCCTCACTCTCCTCCTTAAAACAATGGTCCTCACTAAACTGTTCTACGCAGCACCTATTTGGCTTCACAAGTGTCTCAATCAATTTAAAAGCTTCTGGAATAAAATCATTCTAAAAATATCTGGATCAGTCCTGAATCCACAATGCAAAGGGAATTAACCGAACTTGCTCTCCACCTCCCACCACTGGATGTGCAACTCGAAGCTCTTTCGGTTAAATTCATGTGCAAAGTACTCACACAAGGTGACAACCTCTCAGCTACACTCTACCAAGTTGACGAAAGCAGAATACCAAGCTTTCATGTCTTAACAATGTCACTGAAAAAGTACTTCCTTTGGAAAGAAAATAAGTCACACGGAACCAGAATGATAGACCTAAAGCAGAAACTTTTTCAAGGTTTGGGCCTATTAACCCCAAGGCAGATTTAAAGGAGCTAAAAAAAAAGGGATCTGGATTGACAGCATCGAAAAAAAAATCGCAATGCAGAACTTCGTAACAAAAAGGGAAAAAAAAAATATTGGGTGTCACAAAGAAAAAAAAACAGTGGGCTCCCCCCCCTTTTGGCCAAAAAACAACTTTTATTGGGGCACAACCAAAAAAAAAAAATTGGACGGCGAATAAGGGATACTTTTCAGGCAGTTACCACCTTTCCCAAATACCCAAAGGGATCGGGGTGGGGGAACAGTGGTGAGGCCTGTCTTTTTCGGGGGGAAAACTTTCGAGGGGGGTTTTCCCCGGGGAACAAAACCCCAAGGGGGGGTTTTGGGGTTTGGAAGACCCCCCGGGGGGTTAAACCTTGCAGCAAAAGGGGAAAAAGCTGGGTGGGGTTTGTTTAACTTCCTATCTGGGATGAAGTGTTAACAAAAAGCAGCACACAAAAAGCTTTCTTAGAAGAGGTTTTTCTTTGGGGTTCAAAATAAATGTTTCCCGGGGATTTTCCAAAAAAACTAGAAAGACATAAAATAAAGACTCGGGCAAACATCCCCAAGAAATAAAACCCCCGTAAAAAATTAAAGGGGGGATCCTGGCCCCCAAAATCCCCATTTTTTTCCGGGAACTTTAAAGGGGGTACCAATGGGGGCAGGAACCAGGGGTCATGCTGCCGCGAGTTTA